TGCCAGATTCTACAAATGCAAAGTGATTAGGATAGTGTTTTGGTAATGTTTAATTTATTTTGTTAGTGAAATATCAATGTTTATTATCAGATGTATTTTTGTTTTTTCACAGATTTTAAATAAATGTAGCAGTTCTAAGCATAAACAGAAATTACATGAATTGTTTATGTTGAATGAGGTAGATCACTTTGTTACTATATGCACTTGGGTTACACTTCAAAAGAAAATAAATTAATGTAAATCAGGTATTATTTTGCTGAGTTTCTGTCAGCAGCAAACTAATACTCAAAAATTTTGTTTTTAGTCTTTGCTTGTCTTAGCTAGTTGTAGCTTTAGTCTCATTATTTGCTCAGTCATCTAAGCAGAGGATTAATTATTTGAACAAAGTATTTAACTGGTAGGTTTATGTAGAAAATTTTGAAAAATGCTTATGTCACAAAAGTTCAGTATTGCTCAGATAAGGTAACATACATATTTCTTCTTATTATTTGAGATCTGTGTACCAAATATATAAGTCGAATAATTGTGATTATGTGCAACCATTTTAAGGAGAAAGATAAGGTAAACAGGTAAAGTAATTATGGAATTATATGGGTCGATAATATTTAAGAACTGAATGCCATGAAAAGTACTTTTTTATACTCTTGGTTGTACTAGTCATACTCTTACCTGAAAATATGATCTATGGTGTCATTTTAATGATAGTTCAAAAATTGCATATTATGATTAACAATAATCTAAAAAATTACCACCATTGACTTTATCTTCTAAATACTATTTTTTTTCCTTGTATAGACTAGAATAGATTAGATTGCTACGTTGCTGCAAATTAGAACTTTTAGGGAAAAAATCAGGAAGAAAGATTCTATAGTCAATTATTTCTCACTAAATGTCTAGTTTCTCATGAAAAATCAAGTGTACCATTGTGCTTTACTGAAAGTGACTATACTGCAATTCAATTAGTTGATCTTCTTTAAAAAAAAATAAGTTTTGTGAATCAGTGAGTTTCTTCTTTTCTGAAATAAAAATCACCAACCATATGTTTAGAACTTTTTTGTGTGCTGATAAACTGTCTGTTAAAAGTACTACTCCGATGCCAATATCAGCATGATATTGCTGACATAATATTGCACCATTTAAACAAGTAGTTACAGTCAGCGAAAAGGGATTAATTACCAGAACTGCAGAAACTCTTAGGTTTGTCAGTTCTAAGAGAGATAAAAACATCACTTGTCTGGGTAGCTACCTTCATTTAAGAGGCTCAACTTCATCCAAAATCTGAGAATCTTTTTCTAAAGCTACAGTAAACTAATTTGCCTGTGCATTTACAGAATGATTTGCCCACATAGATATGCCAGTAAGGCTAAGTAAAATTGCACTAAGTAAGCATGAAACCGGTGCACAGCCTGAGTGCATCAGATATTATGGAACATCAGCTCTGGATTGTATAGCAGTAGTACCTCTTTTACTAAAATTATTAGCAACACTCAGGAGTCACGAGATCTGGTTTACATTTGAACACAGACTATTTTGTTGGAAATTTATAGGAACATTGCACACACTCAAATAATATTGTAGGTGTTCATGGATATAGTTCACAATAGTAAAAATCAAAGTAAAAATAATAAATAAAATCTCCATGTAGATTGAAAATCTAAATTTTAAGCAGTTTAGTTCCTCTTCATCACTAGCAATGCCAGTCTGCCCAGGCCACTTGAATGTCAAAAGACAAAAATACACTATAAATATGATGAAAGCTACTCATCCTAGAAAAAAGTTTATATTTTATGTAAAAATTATGTATCTTCAACCAAGAAATGTTTATTATTATTAGGACTTTTGCACTGTGACACATCTCTTTCGTCTTGCCTTAATTTTGTAGAAGAGGGGATAATTTAAGATTTGTTCTGGACTCTAGTTCTTAAGCATAAATAGGTGACAGTAGTAATATTGAGACAAATGATGTCTCAAACCCTTGTAGTCCTCAACATCTTTAAGGTGGAAAGAACGAGCTGCTAGGGAACTGTTTTAAAAGAAAACTAAAAGTCTATCTAAATGTTACTAAGTTTCTGAGGCAGAATGAACTTAATAAATAGGAAAATATATTTCCTTGTATGGTTAGAAAATATTATGTTACATTGTATATTTCCTACATTTTGTGAGGGTTATATGATACCCATCAGCAGTTCCAAGTATTCCATATGATTGATCTGTCCTTAATATGAGTATACTCTGTATTATAAATGTATAACAGTCAAATGTGCAAATCTTCAAAGCAATGTTTCATATTTCATTAGTCCCTAAATAGTTTGGAAAATGAGTGGGCCTCATGAAATGTTATAAAATAATTTAAGTGCTTTTAGACTGGGGAAACTAAATTGAAGTGCACCTTAGAAAATGTCCAACTACATCCCTTCCCAAGAGCACCAGCACATCTGCTGATTAAAAGTCTTCAGGACGCGTATAGCTGGGAAAGTCAGATGCTATTCCAACAGGCAAGTCCCAGCAGCTGCTGCAGTTTATGGATGGTTTGTAGAGCCACAGGCACCTGGTTTGGCAGGTACCCACTTTGCCCCCTGCTGAATCAGCAAGCACTGTGCTGAAGGCAAGAACTGGCACGTGTGGTTGCAGCTCAGCCCTTGTCTCTCAGGGAGTGAGGGCTCTGCACCACTTTGCTGGGCTGCAGCTTGCTTTCAGAGGGGTTGGTAGTATTCACACAGCTTTCTGCAACAGCAGTACCCACCAGCACTTCAGCTATGCTAAAAAAGTGCTGGTTAAATGGGGTGGCTTAAAAAGAAGTGTGGAGTGTTCTCTTCACACATCAGGAAAGACTACTCCTGTTCAGTATAGAGAGAGACAAAGAGTTATTTAAGGAGAAAACCATTGAGGAGGAAGGGTTTTTTGCAGAAATGGCCATATGCTTCCAACTCCTACAGCATTCAACAATAGAATGTTTTGACAGCAGAGTGGCTGCTGCTGTAAATCTCCGAATTATGAAGCAAAAGTGCCACCAACTTATGATGCATAACATGTTACTGGCATAAACTCATGCAGCAGTTCAGAAGAGTGGAAAGTTTTCTGACGGATTAACCTTTACACCAGAAGGTTCTATGCCAGATTCAGTATTAAATGTATTCTAGGCTGCTTTTGATCCTACAGGCAATGTAAAAATACCCAGGAAAAAAAAAAAAAAAAAAAAAAAAAAAAAAAAAAAAAAAAAAAAAAAAAAAAAAAAAAAAAAAAAAAAAAAAAAAAAAAGGAAAAACCCAAAAAAATCATAAATCTGACTATGTATCATCTGCTATAGTTGATTTGACAGCAATTTTATCATTTCTACCTATCTCAGTCTGACAAAATGAATGTTTTAGTAACCTTGAGGAACCAGTGCTGAGTCCTGGCAGTGATGCTCACAGACACACGTTCTCAATGGCTTGTGAGCCACCAGCTTTATCCACTGATATGAGAGGCTTGTTCATACTTGAGATGACTGCTGAGTTAGTCCTCCTGTGGGTGTAAAAGGGACTTATGCTCCTAGGCACACATTTTTAACCCCATCATTTTTCTTCTGCCCACTTGCTGGGGTAAATTATGCCATTATCACTGCAAAGGGAATCCACACTGGTAAATCTGATATGGATTCACTAAAAATGCACTTTATGTTTCATTGTGGGTACTACTTAAACCTCATCTGTTATAAAAGTGCAAATACTAAATAATTCTTCCTACATGCATTCATGTAAAAGGGCATCCTTATAAGAGCTACCACCCTACTAGAGTGCTTCCAGACCTTCTGCGGTAATAGTTTATTTTGGAACTATGTCTCCTCTATAGTTCTATGAGAACATGATTGCAAACAAGAATTGTCAAAAATTAAACCAGTATTGTTTCCCATATTTAAGTGACAGATCGTGGACTGAACATCAGTAGAGAGCAGAATACTTGTGGGGAATTTTTGTTGTAATTGTGATGAAGGGTGAGGGCTGAAATGTGTGTAAATTGTCTACCTTTCTTGGTGCAGTGATGATGTTATTTGGACAAAGGTGTGGAGAGTTGTTTATTTAAGTGACATTTGTGAAGATTGCAGATTTTGTGATGAATGTGTATTTTAATGATTATGCTCATTTGATGAAAACAAGAAAAGAAAATATCTTACATATTCAGCATCATGTTATTAGAAGTCAGATCCTGTAAGATATTCAGACACCTCACTCTTAGTGATTTCAGCTCCATAAGATACCTGAATACTTTTAAAAATATGGACTTACTTCGAGGGTCAAAATAAATGGTTGTAAATACTAGATTGCTGCACTTTTCAATTATCTATTTTGTTACAGTTTGTGATTAATCTATTTTGTGTTATTACTCTTTATGTTGATTACATTTTCTTTTTCCCGAGTTAGCTGCTGCACTAGTCTCTCTCTCTGATAATCTGTTATCTCTGTTAATCTCTGCTAATTGTTTTTAGGAAGGTACATAAAATTGCCTTTTGCTTTGCAGTGTGCAAGGCAGTACACCTTAAGGGCTGTACACTTACTACTCTATGTACTTCGTTACTGCTTCATTTTGAGAGATGTTGAGTACACCCATCACCCATTCAGCTGCTGGGGGAAGGAATGATCATTGTGGTAGTTAAGGGCTGATCTATTCCCTCATCAGCAAGAGGGGAATTTGGAGCAGTCAGAGCTATCAGAAGTTTTCTTCAAATCTACCTTCTGAAGGGGAATCTCTGGTAGTGCAAGAGTGGCAAAACTGGCAATGGTATAAACCCAGTTTGAAATTTCAGCTGCCATGTAGGACTAAAGTTAGGGCTGTGGGGAGTCTTAAGCAAAAGTTTAAGAAAGAAATACAGCATGTTCTGTCACTGGTACTGCTCCCTCAAAAGGCTGAGAAAAATCTGCAGTAAACCTCTGGTTAGAAATGTAAAGCTGAACTTTAACTTCAAAAGCTTGATCATGCACCAGCCTTGTAAATACCAGATATTCTGTTTTCCCTCTTTGCAGGTATCTAAGCCAGACTGTATCAGAAGAGGCGATGTTAGCAGCCAATCCTCAAAACAGAGAGAAATTCACCATACTAAAACAAGCTCTAGGTGCTCTGGGATTCAACAGCCTGGTAAGTTACATGAGCTTATGTTATATGTGGCTAAGTAATCATATTAGCTGAAAGCAGGCCATAAGTAACTCTCGCAGATAACCTTTTGTGGGTAAGAGAAGCACCTTTCTGTCTTTTTTTTTCCCCCATGTTAGTTAAGACATTGAAACAAATACAGCACTAGTTCACTCCAGGGAAATTACTGTAATCACTTTTAATTAGACACAGAACCAACAATGTAAATCTTTCTCACTCCTAAAGATTCACAAAACAGCTTCAAGGTATAATACTCTGAACAATTAAATTACATAGATAAAAAGAAGCAATCAAATCCCATATGACACCTCATAAAAGTCACGGAAACTTTTTCCTCTTCCTGATTATCTCCCCATCCTTTTTAATTTTATGAAACACACATATGCTAACAGCACCTGAAAATAAGTAAATACCTATTTAGGAAAGAAAATTAGAGTCAGGTAACTTGAAAGAGCTGGCTTAATTCCCCAAAAGCAACAAGAGGATAGACTTGCTGTTTGTCTTTAATTCTATGAAATTAATGAAGAAGATAATTTGGAAAATTAATCAAGAAGAGGTTCTAGGGGACAGAGGTGTGAAAGAAATAAGAAGAAATAGAAGGATAAATATAAGAATTCATGTAAGCTGTGCATCCCTTCAAGATACTACAATGCTTAACAAACTCCCCATATTTCTTAAATATGTGTATGCTACCTAGCACTCTGTAGCTGGAACACTTCTGCAAGAGAAATACATAAGCAACAGTAGTTTTAGGAGGTAAGAACTTACTCCTGTACAATATAATTAGAAAGAAGGAGACAAAAGGTTAATGTAAATATAAGTTAAAACATCATCAAAAATGACAGATGGGCAGCAGTTGTAATAAAAAAAGGATCAAGGGCTATCAGCAAAACTTTGTTAATCTGCTAAAGCTGTAATTTAAGTGGGAGATAGACTTCTGTGGTGGTAGTGGTACATCATGGAGCTGTTTGGCATGTTAAAGCAGTAAAAATTGTCACCTTTCAATGTAACGAAGAGTAGGGGAGTAGGGTTTATTTTAATTAATGTTCATGAGGCCATATACAAAATTAAACACAGATTACTATATTTGACAATATTATTCCTCACTTTTAGTGGCTAAAGCTCTGTACTATGAGATTTCAATAACATAAGTCCAGAAACCTTTGGACTAAACCCAGTGTTCACAGTTTCGTGGATCTCTCTTGTTCTTTCATTAATGTTTCTGTTCTGTTGAGGAAGGGGTTCAGCCCGTAAGTAAATAATTGAATGCTAAATAGATCATGATTTGTAAGCTTGCAGTAACTGTCTGAGAATGCTTCATATACAGTTTTCTTTTGAGTCCAGTACTTCACGCAGAATTCTTGAAAATAAGTTACCCCTCAGAAAAGTGTCAACATCTTGAAAGCTGCTCTGTAGTCAGGCAGCATTAGAATAATATTTAGGGGACAAGAAATCTGTGAAACTCTCAAGTACTGCAGGCTGATCTCCTGTGTTGAATGTTAGATGGCAATATGAAGATAAAACACATTCCTAAAATTTCTACCCATTACTTCTGAGGTGCAGGGAGAGGTCTGTATGTATCATTCTTTGACTACATAGCCATTTAATGATACAGTAGATAATCCTTTTGAAGAACTACATAAAAATTCCTTAGCAGTCATTACTGCTATCTTCCAAAGAATGTTAGTGTTTATTAAAACCAACTACTGTTTTAAAGGTGGGGAAACATGCATATTACACAAAGTGTTTGAGACTCTGGAATGTGAAATATACCTGAGACTTTACCAAAGTCACCAGAATCAAAAGCTATCCCAGTCCACTGTCATTCAGTGCTGCACAGTAATCCCCAAACCAGTTCTGAAAGAGTTAACCTACAAGCAAGGAGTGCCATTTCACCTTGCCTGACATACCATCCCAAGAAGCAGAGAATAGCAGTGAATGTCAGTTTGAATGCTATATTAGCATAACTTCTATTTTGAGTGTTATCTTGTTTAGACTTTGTATATATTGGATTTTTTGAATTTTCAGCTTTGGTACCATGTAATAATAAAATACACTGTTGCCCTATTGACACCTCTCTCATACAGTAAGAGATTGACATTCTTGTCTTAAAATGTAGTTCAGAGAAGCAAACATGCTTAAACAGCACTGGAGGTGCTATAATCTACCCCAGAAAGACTGTAAACTTTTCTAATGTCCTTTGATTATTGACATATTTATCAGGGAAAGGAACATGAAGAAATGAAGAAGAAAACTTGAGAAAAAAAAAGGGTGTGTTAGCTAAGTATTTAATTAGATTTAATTAGTACTGTATGTATAATCTTACTCTGCAAATTCTGATAAGTGAAATTTTCTCAATGTCACTTCTGCAGTTTCAGAAGATTCAGGTTCTAAATATTATTTTTCAAAAGTATTTCAAGAATTATCAATTATTTTGCTGCACATAATGCCCTGTAATGTCATAGTGGATATCAGGTTTCCTGTTTTACCATTTTAAGAAGCTCCATTGTTATATAACTGACCTTCAAAAAAAAAAAATCTTCCAAAAACACACAATGCTTTCCATATTTTAGGATTCAAGGTTCATATTCCATGAATCATATTTTTCCTTGAATTTAAAAATACTTTAAATTAATACTTAATTAAATTAATACTTAATTAACCAACAAAAACAGTCAAAGAAAGTTAGTTTTCTTCTTGCTGTGATAAAAAGGAGGCCAGAAAGATGCTGTCCCTAAAGATAAATGCTTCACAATTTGACACATCTCAGAAGAGTATGCAATTCCAGAGGGAAAGTGTGAGGGTAAGGAAAGTTGCTTTTCTTTCTTTCAGATCTTAATTACAGCTTTTCATACCAAGAACCTATAGAACTAGACACTTTGATATTTTTGAGGCAAAAAATGCCCTGGCTGTTCCCAGATACATAAATTGTCTGAATGGAAATTCTCTATGGACAAGATAAGTTTTATTTCTTGGAGAAACAATGCATCTATTAAAGATGTATCAGTATTTTTATCACACTGGGAAAAACTTTCTTAACCTGGTGGTTAATGTGACATCAAAACAAGGAAATAAAAAGTAATTTTGTTAGTTCATGTCCTAGCTAGGTTCCAGTTTGATTTCAAATTTTCTGTTAATAATTCACATGTGAATGCTTTTCAACTTATCAAATGCTGATGACACAAACTAACAGAATTTATATTTTTATAAAGCATTGCCTTGCACTGGTGTTTCCAACAGCTCTTTCCTTTATCTTTAATTCTGAAAAAAATGTGTGCAGGAGGTGGAGAACCTGTTTGTGATTCTCTCAGCAATTCTGCATCTCGGAGACATTCGCTTTACGTCCCTGACAGATGCTGAGACAGCGTTCGTGTCAGACCTGCAGCTGCTGGAGCAAGGTCAGTAGGACACGACCTTGGAGCATCCCCTGCTTGCTCCCTCAGCAGGGAAGTTGCACTGTTCCACCGACAGATGGAAACACAATTCCAGGGAGACAAAAAAAAAAAAAAAGACTTCTGAAAATTCATAACCGTGGGAAGGCAGTAGGCAGTATCCAATTCATTTGGATGTTTTATAAATTACAGATTTTTATGGGATGAAATAAAGTGCCAGTATTGCAAATTAGCTAATTAAATGTCATATTTAATGTTATTGTTTGCCAAAAGAAATTGTACAGTGCACTTTGTGCAGTCTTGTTTTGAAATGCTTTCGCACTGCTTGTCAACAGCTGAACAGTTTGCCTTGAATTGAATCCCTCACATTCAAAATCTATCTCTTAAAAGGGACTCTTGTTTCTGTGCTGTGAAATTTGCCCTCTTGGTCACTAACAGATCTCCTCCAAGTGGCTTATGGATACAGAATGTCAAAGAGTAGTATACCTTCACTCTAATACCACAGACAGTCTGCCAAACCCTGGGGAAAGTCCTGAGTAGTCTTTGAAGGGGAAAGAAATCTGTAATGTAATGCACAGATACATTTATACTTCACAAAGTACTGATTATAGTAATCTGATTTTATTTGTTAGTTAATTGTGATTACTCCTGTGGCAGCACCCTTGTCTTTAATGTTTGGATTCTTTCACTATTCAAAAAGAAATCTACAGAAGAAAATCTGTAAAAAATGAAATATGCAGGTATAGCATAAATCAGTCTTCACATTTTCTTTTCCTTTCAGTGGCAGGGATGCTGCAGGTTTCACCAGATGAGCTTGCTTCAGCCTTAACAACTGATGTTCAGTATTTTAAAGGTAATCTGCTCCAAGCTTACATTCTTATAGATCAGACTGTTCAGTATTTTAAAGGTAATCTGCTCCAAGCTTACATTCTTATAGATCAGACCTGGTGACAATTTGAGCCTTCTGATTTAAAAAAAAAATTAAAAGCTGTCAAATTTTTTATTTCTTATTTCTTCTATAGTCCTGTAAATATTCCCTCTGAGGAATATGTAGGCTTATCTGCCATGCAGTAAATCAGACTGGGCCACTAAATTAGAAATGCCTTTGTAATATGGAACAAAGCAGTTTCACACTGTGATGCTGATGGGGCTTCTAACTTGATTAATGTTACAAAAATGTGTAAAGATAACAGATTGGATATTAATAAAGAATATTAGTCAGAACTGTAATCAACAGGACTGTCTTAGGGAAGAAGTCTGAAAATAATATTTTCAGTAAAATATTAGTTCTGTGTAGTACTCATACACATTTCTTTTGAACAAAGTATAAAGGCGTGTATTTCCAATCATAAAATCTTTTGAATGTTGACTGTCTACTCATCTTGCAATGGAGGCTTTAGAAAAAAAGCTAACACCATGCAAATGTTTGGCAAAGGAGAAGTAACTGTAGCTAAATTTACTGTAACTAAAATTACTTAAGACAAAGTTTACGGCACACTTTCATCTCCATTTTCTGCTTTTTCTCTTAGGAGATACAATTGTTCGGAGGCACACTATAGAGATTGCAGATTTTTACCGGGATCTCTTGGCAAAATCTCTATATGGTCGTTTATTTAGCTTTTTAGTCAACACAATCAACTGCTACCTTCAAAATCAAGATGAGAGTGGCAGGTAGGAGTGCCATTGGAAACTATTAGTTGTTCCATTATCTGTTCAAATTCAGAACTGTAAAAGAATCATAAGTGCTTTAAATGGTGCAATTTAATGCACACTGATAAAGTTTTAAATAATTTTGTAATAACGTAACAGTGATGTTTGTATCTTTAAAGCACTGGCCATTCTTTCTAGCTGTTTCTACTGTAACATATTTGTTTATTTGTTTGCTTATATAGGGGGCCATGGTACTTTATGTGGTAATCTAGATTAGTGGTTACAATTAATAGCCTTTTTGGACTTGACAATACAGAATGAGCTAAGTCTTTCAACATGCAAAATGCTGCTTGGAGTTTTTTTAATGCAGAACATACTTGTTCTTTCTTCCCAAAACAGTGACCTTAGCACAGGGTATTAGAACCAGAATTTTATTCAAAAGCCTTCAAATTAATGTTTAAACTTAACTTACTTAAATGTTCTAAGAATGTTCTCTAAGTTGGCATCTTCTAAATTCGATGCAGTTGCTCTCCAACATGGCTTCTTGGAAAAATGAATGCTAATTAATGTGCATCAGTGGAGCAGTCAAGAAACAAATTAAAGAACAAAAAACCCGAAATCTCAGTGGAATCAAAGCAACAAACTAAATCAGTAGACCTAATTAGATGATCATATGCCTGTGACTTAATCAAAGTTCAACAGCTCATATGCTCAGCTCAGCTTTCTTAAGAACATGAAATACAAGTGGCTTGGAATTATTGGTAAATGGTAATCTACTAATGGCAGATGCAGAGCTTTCATAAGTATGTTTTCTTTATATCATATATCTATATATCATATATCTTTATATCAAACTCTTTTAGAGTTTGAGGACTTCACAAGCTTGTTTTTTTTCCTATTCATAGACTAATTAGTGACAAATCTCTTCTATGGGTGTAGTTAGGAGAAAAAGGTACCATGCCTCAGTAACAGGTTTCTGCATCTAAAATCTGTCCATCATTAGATATACACCATCAGAGTGTCTCACTTCCTGCTGAAGTAACAAGGAATGATTTTACTTGTCTGTTTGTGGCAGTAAGCTAGGGCAATTTTCCAGTCCATGGCCTAATTTGACATACTTTCTATATAATCAGGGAGGGCATGAGGTCACAGTTCTTCCTCATTCATTCCTGGGATTTATGGAACAGAGGCTTATCTCAGTGTATGTCTGTGGCAGACAACAATCCAGCTCAGGCATTTCTAATTACAGTGAGCTTTTTTGTAGTAATTATTAAGAAAAAAAATTATAATTGATATATTAAAAATAATAAAATTATTTTAAATAATTTTTCAGTATGTAATTTTACAATTTGATATCTTATATTCTTTCAGAATAGGGTGTTGTGTACTTCTTTTGTTAATATAAGCCTATAATTTTTAGATATCATAGGATCTTCAAATAATGAAAGTCAAAACTGTTTGTAGGTTGTCTACCTTGTAGTTTCCTTTTACTGCAACCACTAGGTAGAAGAGGTGACCTTTCCCTTATTAAAATATTTCTCAGTGAAAGTATTTCTACCTGTGAGAACATTGTAAGTCCCAGCTAAAACAGGACAGCTCTTTATGTAGAAATGAGGAATTTGCAGTAGTCTCCTCTGACCACATATTATACCTATGCTTGAAAAGGGATAGTTCTTCATTGAGGCTGGTTATAGAAAGCTAACCAGCTCAGAATTAATTGGCAGTACTGACAAGATATACTAAATTTTATCAGGCCAAAACCAGCTTCATTCCCTTTCAAAACTTGAAACTAAGTAGCTTATTCTAAGTGGAAATAAGGTTGATTGTCCTTCACTGATATTCCAGCCATGGTTGAAGTAGCTCACATACAGTTTCGTTTTTTGTTTTTTGTTTTTTTCTTGGTCCAGCCTAATCATATTGTTTAGACTGGAGGAGTAAATCAAGGCATAGAATAGTTCTAGATGCAAGTTGGATTACTGCAATGAATTTGTGATTAGTGGTTCAGATTTACTTCAAATACATCTGAGCAGCTCTCAGTTAGCAGCATTATATCTCCAGTTTGGTGCAGTTTTAATAAACTTCTGCTGAAAGATCCACCAAAAACATTAACTTATATGACTACATAAGTCTGATACATTCCAGGCCACACTTTATTTCCCAGTTGGAAACTGACAGAATTACTACTTCTCAGATGGGATGAAGCCTCCATCAGAAACCTGGAATAAGGTTTCTAACTCAGTTCTCCTGTTCTGTTGTGAGGCAGTTTAGCAGTACTTCCATCACACCAGTGAGTATTTATGAAGCGATAAAATTATATTTCTTGGCTTAACTCCGAAAGAAGCATTTTTTCTTGGCATTTTTGAGGAATCTGGTTATCCATGTTTAAATTTTATGGTGGAAATACTTGATTTTGATCTTTAATAATTGATTTATATTTACTAAGAAAAAGCTTGTGACAGGTTTTAGGCAAAATAAAAGGAATTTTTATCATTAGATCTAAGCAAAGGGGAGATGATTCTGTGAAACTCTTCAAAGATCAAGTTCTAAAGGTATGAAGAACAGAAGATAAAAAGTGTTGCCAGAATCCAGCAAATTAATTACTTTGAAATACTATTCAATAGGTATAAAGCAAGAATTTTAAGGATGGTGTTAAGTAAGATAATGCACCTCTAGAAATGTTGATCTCTTCCATAAAAACTTACAATTTTGTCTAGTTTTAACTAAATTACAACACCATATGCTAGTTTAGACTGGTTGCAGGATCTGAAATTTGTTTACTTTATTCATTCTGATAGTATTTTTAAAGAATCGACTGTGGAGAAATTATTTTGCCATAATTGGCCCCTAGAGTGGAATTAGAAGAAAGCTAATAACATTTCTCACTAGTGCTTATAATTTTTTTAATTATTGATTTTATCTTCACTCATCTATATAATGATTTCCAACTCTACTATCAAAATAGTCCTGGTGAATTTCTTCCTAAGACTCTTAACTCTTCAAGGTTTCCTCCGTTTTACTTCCATTCCGATATGTATGCTGATTTTCAGTTTTGTAGATTCATGGTTGCCTTAATGTGGCATTTTGATGTAATTGATTGCACTTTGGCAAAAGTTTGATCTGGTGATCCAAATGAATAATGAAATGAATTAAGGTAATGTTTTAACAATTCCTGACTCATTCTGCAAGAGAGCTTTTCCTTTATGGATATTTAAGAATGTCTGTGGATTCTTGTGAAATTGTGTTTTTCATTTCTCATGGAAAACAAGCTAATTAGGTAATATGTCCCTGAGAAAATCTTGATACTGTGTTCCTTTCCTGCTAGTAAGTTTAAGACATGTTGTTTTATCAGCTAGTTAGAAAAGATTTTCTCTATTTGTAGATAAAACCAGATAAAAAGCTGATAAATATTTTGTAGATAAAGTCTGGCTGAACAGCAGGTCCCAGAGGGCCTGGGTCTATCTGGAGACCTCCTCTCTCTAGCAGTCACTCTCAGGGTCCATTACTGGGCCCAGTATTGTTTATATTGTTGACCTGGATGATGGGTAGATGAACCAGCAGGTTCACTGAAGACACAGAGCTGGCAGGAGTGGCCGATACCCCAGAGTGCTGGGCAGCCCTCCAGAAGAACCTCGAGAGGCTGGAGAGATGGGCAGGGAAGAGCTGTGTGAAATTCAGCAAAGGCAGGGTCCTGCACCTGGGCAAGAACAACCCTCTGTGCCAGGACAGCCTGGGGCTGACCTGCTGGAGAGCAGCTCTGGGGAGAAGGACCTGGATGTCCTGATGGACAACCATCTGTCCATGGGCCAACAGTGTCCCTGTGGCCAGGTGGGCTGATGGTGTCCTGGGGTGCATAAAGAAGAGCATTGGCAGCAGGTCAAGGGAGGTGATCCTGCCCCTCTGCTCAGCCCTGGTGAGACCACACCAGGAGTGCTCTGGGTTCTTCAGGAGAAGAGAGACATGGAGCTCCTGGAACAAGTCCAGTGGAGGTCTACAGAGATGATTCAGAGATTGGAGCATCTCTCTTATGAGGAAAGGCTGAGAGAGTTGGGCCTGTTTAGCCTTGGGAAGAGACACTGAGAGGGGAACCTCATCTCAGCCTATAAAATCTAAAGGGACGGTGTCAAGAGGGTGGAGCCAGGCTCTGCTCAGTGGTGCTGAGCAATATTGGAAAAGGTAATGGGAAGAACCTAATGCACAGGAAGTTCTACCTGAACAGGAGGAACAACTTTTTTACTGTATGGGTGACCATGCACAGCAACAGGCTGCCCAGAGATGCTGTGGAATCTCCTTCACTGGAGATATTGAAAAGCCATCTGAGTGCAGATCTGTGCCATGTGCTCTGGGATGACCCTGCTTGAGCAGGAAGGTTGGACCAGATAACCCATTGTGGTCACTTCCAGTCTGAGCCATTCTGAGATTCTTCTGTGGCAGCATTACAGACAAACAAAGAAAGCTGGCATGCAGACATGTTTTCTGTCTGTACCACCAGGTCAGCCATAGATTTCTGTTGCACACAGAGCATACAGATTATTTCTAAAGAGGTCGTTTTTGAAAGCTTTTACATTATGACTATATACTCATGCCTATCAAAATTCAAATAGTGCCAAAGATTAACAGTAGGAATACTTAGTTGGACAATGGAAGGACTTCAGCTGTCTCATTTACAAAACTCTTAGCATATTATCTGATTTATACAACAAGATATTCTGGAATATAAATCTTCCTAACTTCAGGGAAAAAATCGGAAAATAAACCCTAAAACATGTATTTATCTATTACTGAACTCAGCAGAAGGGTGCTGGGAGTGCAGGAAGGAGGGAAAGGAACTACCTATTCAGAACCTGAACCCACAGCATAATGAGACTTGTTTCTATATGTGGAGAGAAGTCTTTAAAACAGACAAAATATGAAACATCTAATATAATTTGGTGCATAATAGCATAATTTGAAATCTGCTTAATTCTGGATAATTTCCAGTGTTTCATTTAACTAGATGATGCCATTTTTTAGAGCACAGAACAAATTTCACTTGAAAGAACTGAGGAAGAATATGTGCTACTAATGAAAGAGCTATAGATCTTGAGTCCACTGGCAAATATATTTCTTTTTTCCTGCCATAACTGTCAAGCCACTCAAAAAAATGTCTGTCAGATATGGAGCCAGTGTTTCCTTCTGTTGTGTCCAGCCACCATCTCTGTATGCACCATCTCTATATGCACCACTCACACCTGGGTAAGTTAAAAGAAAAATTACAGTTGTTGATCAAGATACCTGAGAGACATGGCAGTGACACCAAATCTCAGCAACAGGTTCAGAATTTTGAAAAATTTCCCTCAAACATTTAAGAAACAAATTTTGTTTGGTAATTGTTTGAGATGAAGAACAATATATCCAACTGGAAGTAGTCATCCTATTCCCTTCAAGAAATATGTTTATGGCAACAGGTATAATCTGTTCCCCTGGGAAAACTGAGGGTGTTTCAATTAGGATTCTGAAGGACCTCATTTGAAGTCTAGGCTATATACTTAATCTGATCAGAGAAATATTTCCTCATTAATCAGTATCACTTCCAGTATATCCAGATCAGACCTAAGCCTTCCTCATTACTGGCAGCAGTTGGAGGAAGAGCAAGAACTGTTGTATCTTGGACAGATGAAAAGATGCATAAGATCACCCTCCCCCAACAAATTCATCTCACTGCTCTTTGCTGGCAGGTTGCAAAAGATAACAAAATGAATGAATTCCATAGATTGTGGAGCTAAAAAGCATCTGCAATTAAATAAAAGTGAATGAATTACATTCTGTAGGTTTGTCTGAAGCACTGGGTCAGATGTATTGTAAAGGGAGTTCTGGTCACCTTGCCAAGAATGGCAAATGGCTTGAGAGCATCACTTGATGAATGGCAAGATGTCTGCCAGAGTGGTGGATTGGGATATCTTCTGTATGTGTATTGTTTTTAGGAGTTGTCGGGAATTTTTATGCAGTTTCTCTATAATTCAATTGTTAAGTGTGCAAGATTAAAAAGGTGTTTCTAGTCTATAAGGATATCTTTACAGAAATGTTCTGAGGAAAAAAGGCAAAGTTGGAGACATAGTAAAATATTGTAACCTGAAATGCTGTTTGGTGTATCAGAAAACCAAAAAGACTTATAGTGAACATCCATGGTTTTTTTTTTTAAAGTATTTACTCCTGTGTGCTGATATAAGAGTTAAAAATAGTTATTCAAACATCAGAAAATTCTTTTTTTCTACTTCATATTCTACTTTATATTCTGGGAAATATTGTCAAACTTGAAATCAAAGTCTCAGTCCCAATTAAAACTATAGTTCTTTTAGTTATACATATTAAATATCTGAAATATAATGAATAAATGTGTCAGTGATGATTAGTAACCATAAAATAAGAAAATAAGGAAATTTCAGAAAAAAATGCTTTTTTCTAATATTTGTTCTTTTAGACCCTAGTGACATGTCCTTTCATTTGTTAACATGGAATCATTCATGCTTTATTTTCCCTTGGGAATCTCTGCTATGATTATTTAAAGAAAGTAATTTTGCTGGAATTAATATGATAGACAGCTAGCCAGTAAAAAGATATATGGACCCTCCTTCTGGCAAGAAAAGTGATATGGAAAAGAGAAAGACAAAAAGAAAGATTAAAAGAACAAAGTAGTTTGCAATCACATATAAAGCAATGCTTTTAATTTGGATATTGTGTTGTCAGTTGTTATTTAGTTTTCAAAATCTGAACAATAATTTAATACAGAAAATTACTGTCATAGTTGAAGAGATTTGGCACATAAATAGCACAGTGTAATAGTAAAATGTCAATGTTGTAGAGGATACAGAGCCTAGTGCTGTTATACGTGTCCCGTAGGCAAGATATTAATTATGTAAAACCTCCAGCTCTTTTAATGTGGTGCATCTCCTAATAAAACTAGACCAAAATTATCAAGAGGAGTTCATAAAAATATTGAGACTACATGTATTTCTGTCAAAAAATACATCTCCATTATATTTGTAAGCCAATATATTTGTCACAAATATCACAGTTTTGATAAGGAATGCACTAAGGCTTTTACCCAGAGTTTTGGAAGCTAGGATCAGGTTCCTGTTTTCCTGACATTTAATAATTAATTGAGTCAGTTTGTATTGGTCTTTTCCTAATGCAAATGTTTATATATTCCTTGAGGGAAAGTAAGAGAGACTAATTTGACAAAATAAGAGTCACAGATTCAACAGGAATGCAAACAATCCAGTCTCAAATTATTAATTGAATCAGTCAGAGAAGTGATAAGCTGCTTTGTCTGTATTAAGTAGTTCTCAAAAATTGTAAAATATAATGCAATATTTCAGCTGTTGTACAATGCTACACAGCAGTTCATGTTTTGCCTTCCTATAAGGAAGGCTACATACAAATGGGTGAAAAAAAAAAGAAAATTAATAAAAAAAAGAGTGAAAACCTGCAAAGTATTCTAAAATGTCAAGCTTCTTTTTTTTTTCCCCCAAAACAAATTTAAAGAACATATTTATTCTGGATTTTCAATATTAATTTCTTGGTGGTAGTTTGGTTTTAAAAATTTAATTTTTCTTTCTATAAATTGACAGATTTCATTGAAAACTAGTTCTGACAAGGAATGTACACTCCCTATCTCTAATCAGGAGCAGTTGTGAATGAGGCTTACATTTTAAAACCCAGTTTAAATTGCATTTATTGCTAGAGATGGATGTGGTGAAAAAAAAGCTTTTTGCTTTTTCTTGTAGAAATTCCCTTGGAGGCTAATCAACCTCCCGATAACCTCCCCTGCCCAGCAAAGCCATTCTGGACTAGATTTATTATGTAACAATCTATGTCTGACATTTATGCACACAGCCATTCCCGTGACAATCAGGAGTACATTGAACTAGTGTGCTTTCGAAATGAAGACAAACTTCTTGGGCATGATTTCTGACAAAGGCTCTGCTTGCCCCTGAGGATTGTTTTTCCAAGCTTGTTTTATAATATGCATTTTTTTCAAATTATTTTACTTTGTTTGTTTGCTATACAGGAATTTATTTTGAGGGCTGGATCCTCATCAAATGGCATGATATAGGGTTATAATGACTGCAATGGAACCATATTAATGTACTTCAACAGTGGTTCACCTTTTTCTCTTTTACATCTATAGCCTAATACTCACAGAGCTTTAGACATAGAGGAAACCTGGATTATGGAGAAAAAAATACAGAAGCATCTCAGAACAAGCAGTCTGCAATATTATTGTTGCATAGCAGGCAACATAATATTCCAAAATATTCATTTTGCTCACTGCACTGAATTTACTTTCCTCTCCAGATCAGGCTTACAATGACTCAGTCCAAAGTACAGAATAGTAACACCTCTGTCCTTTTCCCAGTTCTTCTGTCCAAATCCTAGATGACTGCTCTACCCTGACGCTTCCACTCCTTCCACTTGGCCACAATAAAATCCCTTCCCTCAATGCACACACCAAATTAGATGCAACGTCAGGAACTACTCATTTATACAGAGAAGGAACATCTGCCTTCTTCAGGCCTGACCCCCGACTTTCTTTCCCCTGGGACATGCAACCTCTTGGGCAGCCTGAACCCAGAAATTCTACTTGATGCTGACACAGAGAGGATTTGTGCTTAACAGGTTTCCCTTGAAGTACATTCTGTAGAAACAATTCTGGCTGCCGAAGAAATATAAATGGGAAAGAATAACTGAGTGCAGCCAGGCATTTTTGAAACATCCCCAAAATGGTTGTCCATGATGTCAGAAAATGGGTACCTATATTCTTAGAAACTAGATTTTAGTAGGCTAAGATTTTTTCCATCTCTTACAAATGTAGTTTTTAGCATAGCTGTTAAAGCAATCTTGAGCCTTGTTCTTTTTTTATTTCTGTTCAGTATGTACAGGTTGTTAGTAGAATTTTGATTTTATTCTGTACATGGTCTCCTTGTGTATTTCATCCATGTTTATGAAATACAGCCTGCTTTTGTCCTAGAACAGAAATACTTCTGTCAGAAGCAACAGATGTATTATTCACTTGCTTGAATTCTTATTATCTGTAATATCTTTTTTTTTCCCCAGTGACCAGGTGTTTGAAATTGGAGTATTAGATATTTTTGGATTTGAAGAATTTCAAAAGAATACTTTTGAACAGGCAAGTGTGGATTGCTTTGCTGAATTTAATGTACCTGTTGTTATTTCTCTAATTAACCAGTTTTGATCAGAATATAATTATACATGAAGGTGAAAATTTTATCTTAAAATATTTTTCCCATTATACCTATATGTGTATGCATTATATGCTGGGTTTTGTAGAGTTCTTGAAAATTTTAAAATAATATAGTAAATATCTATCGTGATTATGAAAAGGGGTAGCATTAGCACTGAAAGACAGCCTGAGGGAAATAGTATTGTTTCTTTTCATTCTTGTGTTATTTATACTTCAACTAGATCAATGAGTAGAAGGACAATATACTGAATTGGAAGAAAGATCAAAAGGTCTTCAGATGCCTTGGAGAAAAAATAAAATTTAAGTGCTGCATTATGCTAAATGCCATTATTATCAGATTTACCTCTGTGTGACTGCAACATGTAACTTTTCAAAAAATTGAATTGCATCCATGGAAAAGAAATTAAAATTTATGTCACTTAATGCTTTAAAATCCTTTAAATATCAAACTTTCTTTAAGATATTCACCTACCATCAACATTAATCACTGCACACTAGAGCTCTTGGAAATTATATATTTCAGAAAGTATTAGTGACTTTACACAACACACTCAAAGAGGTGTTTAAGTTTGTTGTTCAGTTGTTCATTCATTCTGTGATGCAGAGGAAGAAAATCAAACCACAGAACAAAAACTCAAGGCAGAGAAAAGAATCGAGAAGGCACCAGCAGGAACAAAGGACTTACTATAGTTTGAAATTGTTTTTTGCCCCTTTGTCCCAGTCAGTCCATTGTTTTATGGCTCAGCTTCCTCCTTGTGGTGAAACAGAAGTCATAGGGCCATATCAGTTCAGCTTTTACAAGTTTACATTGATACCCAATTTCCAAATGTTTGAAAGCACATGGTAGGTTTACCTGTACATCAAAGAAGCATGTAAGAAGGCAATAAAATAAATTCCAGTTTCCCTTTCACAAAATTCTTTTTGCTGTTACAGTTCTACCTTGCTTGAACATTTGCTGGATTAAGGACTCTTCCTGTGTACAGATAATTTACTCATTGTGAATGCCACCTTCAGAGGAAACTATAAAGTGAAAAATTGAAAACATTTTAACAGATGAAGTATATAAAATTAAAAAAAAAACAATAAGCCTCCTGATTAATAAGTATGAAGTATTATATTCACTTTAAATGCTTCTCAAAAGAGAGGGGTTCATCTTGGGACTTATTGGTTATTTTCCTTTGACCCTGTTCTGCATTGATTTTTTGTCATGAAACTGATAAAAGGTCTGCAATTGACATCATGAAATACCATTAATTCAATTTTATGGCATAAGTAATTTTATGCTTAATAACTGCAAAGGATACTTGAAGAGAAAATACAAGATCTACAAAAAATTAGTAAAAAGGAATTGATTATTTCTGTGTAGCAAACATGATAATTTCAAAGTCATATTTCTATTTCTATTTCTAAATAAATATACTTCAAGAGACACTTACTGTCCCTCCACCTGGACTGAATGCATTTTATTGAAAAATATGAAGTAATAATCTGAATCATTATCTCAGAACAGCATTTAACTGCATTCCTGAAAAGACAGAGCAGAAGTGAGAGGTTTTTTTTGAATGAACTCTATAATGGAGTTAACATATCTGATTCCTGAAGTGGTGGGTAGGTTCTAGTATCAGTGAAGAGAAGCAGTTTGTATCTCCATGTGGTACATATAATCATGTAGACTTACCCCAAACAGCCTGAACTTCAAATCTGGAGCTCTCTAGCAATCTACTCTAGTTCTGAGTTCTTCCAGGGCTTGTTAACCCTAACAATAAACAGTCTTGTTAGCCGAGATAGGGTCCTCATGCAGAACATTGCATCATGTCTGCAAACATGCCCAGTGTCAAGGCCTGTGATTGTAGAATATTAGCATTAAATGTTACAACCAGACAGTAGTGGAGTCATAAAAATTATTTTTAAGTCACATTTAGATTAGCATATTCTAAAATTAATTTTAGGGAAAATTATTTTTTTAATTAGTGTATTATAAGGAATTTTTTGTGATATCTGTTTTTCTAGTTTCTTGGAAAAAAAATGATGACTGTTTTAAAAAAAAATTTAAACCTCCTGACTGCCCAAAACTGGTGACATTCAAAGTAGCTGTGGAAATCTTTCTAAAGCTTTATATCAGGCTGGTAGATAGGCAGTTTGATGTCATAATTAAGAGAGTAATAAGATAGTAAATCACATGTCAATTTTAATAAACTGTGCTTGAAGATGGTTCTGACAAACAGAGATGCAAAAACTGGGTAGAATAACTTGTTTACTCTGTTGTATGTTTTGGAAGGACAAGGCATTAGAGTATTAAAATATCAAAGTCAAAAGAAGAATTGGTCTAGGAACAACTCATGACCAATGCAAAGGAAAGCAACTGTCAAAGGACTAGAAAAGTAAGATGAATGATGCCTACATCAAGAATGTGATAAATTCTGCAGGCAAAACTATGTGGCTGACAGATTGTAGAGAGAAAACTTTTATAGGCCATTGTAAACGAGAAGGCATTAGAAGTTAAAAAACATTATTGTTTCCCTTGTATGACTGTAGAAAAGTTATATCATGTAATTTTTGTAAGTGAGGGTGAGTAAGGTAAGACTTTAAGTAAGGGTGAGTATTGGTAAGACTTTATTGTATAGAACATGCGTGATATAAGAACAAAAATGGGACATGTAATTCTAAAATAAAAGTAAATAAGTGTGAAATAAGCAATAGTGAGAGGAGTTTTGATTTTTGGTATGAAATTTAAAAGTTGAAAGGCAGGGAACAATGTTTTTTAGAAGGCACAATCTGAAGGAGTCTGCTCAATAAAGACTGAAAGCTTCTCAATCACCAGGACTCAGTGAGTTACTACTTTTACTGCTCATCAGCTGAGCTATGGTAAATGACTACAGTAGACTTCTAGTTCACCCTAATAACAATTTACAATCACTTCCTAGCAGTGAGCATTAGCTTGGGAACAGCATTTTCCTGGAGCAGTTGCATACCTGCTGTGCCAGAAGAGCTTTGTATACAACCACACTGGAACATGGTCAGAAGTGAGCACAATTTCTCTTTCCTATTCTGTAGGGAAATGGCCTTCATTTCCTGGTCATTTCAGGAAATAGAATGCTCTACCAAAAATATAAATGGTAGTTTCTAGTGTTAATTCAATGTTTTCTCAGACTTCCCTGTCTGAGAGGGAATCTATTTGTTTACAGTTTATTCTGCACCCCTCTAAGACTAGAAGTCTGCTTCTCTTGTAGCAGAAATTAAAACTAGGTGAGATCTTATTCATGGGTCCTTCACAGCACAACTCCAAATAGTACAGTCAAGGAATGCTACAACCTTCATACTTATGATAGTATATTTTTGACCACAAACTCATGACCAATGAATATAAGAAACAATAATCAGGATAGATAGTTGCCTGTACCAATTTTCCCCCAGCTATATCTAAGAAAACTGTATTATAGAAGAAGAACCAGACATTAGAGGAGAAAGAGTAGCTTTTCTTCCCCCTGTCTTAGAAAGTCAGGTCTTTCTACAGAAATGGAAGTCTGTAGTTGTAGATTCATCATAAAGAACAATAATACAATAAAGTCCAATTGTCCAAAAATGGACAATGCTAATAGTCTTTTCTGTCTGATATAGAATTCAAATGAGAAACTGAAGAATGTATTTAGCTCTTGCTAAACTATTTGTTTAGCTCTTGCATGGTATTTTATATCTGTAAGCCTCTCAAGTTTTGTGGTAGAAAGTATCTACATATTATTCTTTTTATAGGAAATATAAGGCATTTATCTAAATTAATGCTGCAGGTACTGGAGCAGTCAAGTGTCTCTTGAATCCCATTCAACTCCAAACCCATTAAAGTACGTGCACATTATCTCTGTGATGCTCTGGGAGAGGCACCGCTTCCATGGAAGCTCTGTGCAGAACATCTCCTGCAACAGGAGCCAGCGGGCTCTGAGAGCACAGAGCATTGCCTGCCCCACTCAGAACTCTACCTCAGTCACTATGGTGAAGCAGAAGAGGTCACAGAACCCAGCTGTGTTGGAATTTTCACGTATGTCTATTATTAGGTGTGGTAGATTTTAACTTCTCGACATGATATTTCTATGGTTAACTCTGCTGACACTACATGTTTGTCACATAACATTTCCTAGCCAAAACAACCTTAACAGATTATTTTACATTAAATTTCATTGTCTCAGCCATTAGACTGCTTCTAGCTGTCTAAATGTCAGGTCATGTTGTCTATTTTGAAGGTGGATGGATATGAATAGACAAAAGTTACATTATATAACTTTTCTACAGTCATTGTTGCCTCAGTGATTGTAGATGGGAAGTCACACACGGGTTTTTACATTTGGACAGTTTGAAAGAGAATTTAAAGATTTTGTTTTATGTGGAAGAAATCAACTTTCTTTGGTTTTGCGTGTGCAGAGCATAGATGGAAATTGCTGTGTGCATCTTTGGAATAGGCAGCTGCTGGTGCACACTGAGCTCTGTTACTATGTAGGGACTTAATGCAGAACCTTCCACTGCAGTTCCCAGTGCTGGAGTATTCCTTATTCCCTATAGGATGATGGAAAGTCCTTACTATGTTAATTCAGTTTTTAACAAGGAAATTTTTAAGTCAGAGTTTTGCTACCTCCATACACAGGAAGGTTTGAACAACCTCTCTGTGGAGCAGCAAGGACCAGGTGATCCTTGGCACCAGGGAGCCAGGCAATAGGAGGAGCCAGAGGATGGCCATGCCCTCCCTGCTGGGCAGCATCCCTGGAGCCAGGGCTGGCAAAAGTCCCTGTCAGCAGCCCCAGCCTGGCAAGCAGCCAGATGGGGCTGGGACCCTGTCACAGGCAGCTGGAGAAAGAGCTGGAAGCTGGCACTGCCATGGCATCACCTGGGACTGGGCTCACCCGCAAGAAGTGGATGGGGGCCCCAGGAAAAGCTGAGCAGGGCTTTAAAAGCCTATCCCTTCCCTCAGGGGCCTGGCCATCCTGTGTTTTACTTTCTTCCTCAGTCCAGTTCCATGGCCTTTGTCAGGGTGTACTCCTCCCTCTTCCCTCTTAGAATCTTTGGTCTTCTTCCCAGTGCACACATTTCTTTTGTTTATGCAGGGCATTATTGCCTGTCCAGTGTTATTTTTTACAGGAGACTTTTTGTAGCCAAAAATAAAATAGTTTGTCTCAAACTGAGATTCCCAGCTCAATTCAGTTTGTGATTGATTGGTAAAATTCTGCACAACATTTAATTGATATACATACTTACTTTCCACAGTAGCAACCTTTTTTTTATCCCATGGTACTTAGTTTCTGGCCAGCATTATGAGTGAAAAAATAATTTAGAACAGTTTCAGAAAAATTCCAAACTCTTTCAGGGAAAAATTGTTGTTACCATGGTTTTTTGTTAGCTTGGTTGTTTAATATTTTCATGTCTACAAAAAGTCAGTGAGACTATTCCAGTTTGTATAGAAATAGTCCCTTTTCTGAGGGGCATTTCAGACACTCCTTTGTAGAAGGCTTCTCAGGTGACAGCTACTTGTAGCAAAGTTTCAGTATAGCACCAGGCTCTCTTTTACATCATCTGAGGAACACAAATCAGGTAATGGCAACTGATCCCAGAGATGACATGGAGTCCCAGTGAATTAAAGATCTTCTGACAGAGGTAGGACTATGTCTGAATTTGTGTTGGAGCTGTATGGGGAAAAAGAAATCTGTGTGAAATCCTATTAGTCCTATAGGCAAAGGACAAAATACAATGGTTCTGGTTTTGTTATCAATTCCTTAGAAATATTCTGATAGGTACTATACAAAAGAAAAGGATGTTGAAATGTTTGGGTAGCAGATTCAAAGGGGAACACCATTCAAGATACTTCTAATAAATAAATGTTAAGCTTAGGTTTAAAAATATTTTCTGAGTCCAGCCTCAGAAAAAAGATTATTCTGTGTTTCATTATCCTAGAAATTACATTTTTGAGAAATGCTAGAGCACTTCCTTCCAGGTTAAATTTGACATTGTTATTTCATCATCTCAACCCATAAATTAGGGCCTGATAGATGTGTTGAAGTGACAGCTGTTAGCTGTACTCCATGCTCTGAATACACATTCCTTGGGAGAGTTAATCCTTCTGCATGACCAAAGGATGTAAATGAGCTTTCCAAAGGGTCTTTGCATCCATCTTTCCCTCACTGATTAACAGTCACCAAGGTTGCTTTCCACAGATTTCCTTCTTTGGCAATGCCTTTTTCAAATAGGCATAAGACCCTGAAAACTGGATAGAGTGAAGAGCAGGAGAATTTCATTAGTCATGGGGGCTTTTCTGTCTTCAGAGCACAGTACAATTTTGGTATTACCTAAATTTTAATTTGGAGTGTACTTAGTTGCACTAACTGTTCAAATGTGATGAAAGAGACCAAGCTAATGCTGTCTAATGTGATGAATACTTACTACTTTTACTAAATGTCACTGTATTAGTTTCCAAAATCTAAAATTTGAGTGGTGCTGTAAGTTATGGTTGTTTTGGTTAAGGGTTATTTTTTTTCTTTTTTTTTAATTTTTTTTTATACTTGAACAAATTATTTTCTTCTAAAAATTTCTGAAAGGACTTCTTAGAGAAGACAGACAAATATATGGTGTATTTATTTTCATTGAGATATGAGAGTGAGTTAATGTTAAAAGTTAAAAGATTGGTAGAAAGAGAACTACTTAGAAGACATAATATGGAGTCCATAAGATGCATATCAAGAACAGTTTAACAATATTTAATGATAAGAAGTACCATAGGTAATGTCGAGCCAAATATTTGTTTTAGGTAAGATTCTATTTGAATGGTTTTTGGTTTTAATTACTGTTATATTTCAGTTAATTTACATGAGTACAGTTAAATACATGTTTAAAAATGTGATTCTATGACCTTTTCAAATCTTTGGACAGAAAGTAATTTTTTTGTGTAATAGTTAGAAGACTTGAAGCAAAAGAATTTGGGTTTACAAAGCTAGTTTAGTTCATATTCATCCCATTTCTACATTTCAGCTGCTTTAACTATTACATCAACCTGTGCCAGGGTTTTAATTTGAAACATTCATTTCATTACCTTTCCCCAGCAGGTTGTATAAAACTGAAATGGAGAAAGAGGCGAGGAGAATGCGTTGCTTTCCAGCAGCCCCTGGCTGTCTCCTGGTTTCGTTCTGCAGAGCTGTCCCAGCCACTGCTCTGGAGAGAGCAGAGCAGAGCTCTGGGGCAGTCTGCAGTTCCTGCAAGTGCTTGAGCTGCTCTCTGCCCTGGCCTGCAGTACCTTGTGGCATTGTGGCAAGTCTGCCAGTCTGGGTGACAGTGTTGTTTATGTTGCCAAGAAGCACCTCAGTGTATGCCATAATACACTGGTTGGTAGAATTTAAACATTTGGTTTTTTATTTACCATCTATGAATGTTTTAACAAATTACTATTCCTTTTATTTTGCTACTTAAAACCAATGCTCTTTATCAGATCTTTGTAAGACAAGACAATCTTTCCTTCATCTCAAATTGTGTAGTTCAATAATTTTGCTGCACAGTCAGCTTTCAAATACTTTTTAATGCCTTTTAAGAGACTGGCTCATGATAAAAAGTAAGCTTGACTTTATAGGGATTTTGACAGCTTTTCTTATTGTAGAACACACCTTTGTAAAGTTGAATGACCTGGTTCTCTAAATAAATCATCTGCAAATAAAGATGTATACAGCATGCATCATTTTAAGGCTTTACCATATTCTGCAAAGTGTAAGCTTGTCTACCTTATAAAATAATGTTAACAAGCTTCTGGAAAAATTTTGTAATTAGAATTCAAGAAGTGATCAGTAAAGCACAGCTTTCCTGCCACAGAGTTAAAAAAGCTGTCTTTTCCATAAAATAAGTAGATACTGGAAATCAGTTGTATACTTCTATTGTTAATAAGGTAACAATCTGAATGTTTATAAATCCCACTTTAAAGAAATATTGCTTTTATTTGAGGCTGTCTTTTGTTTGCACTGTCATGCATTAGTAAAGACAGTTAATAGACATTTGGTAGTAAAATGAGCTTTGTCTCATTTCTTCTGGCTGTTTTTCACACTAGTCTATTTTATTGTATAGCAAGTACAAGTTTGCTATGCTAACAGGAGGTGTTAATGGAAAATTCAGGCAACTCTTACACATTATTTGGGTCCTTTTCCCTCATCTGGATGTTAAGCCATGTAATATTAGGATTAATCAAAATAATTCATACCTTTTAATAAGATTTGCTGTTAGAATTGCTTTACACACTTTATACATGGAAGATATAGTTAAAAGCTGGCCAACACAAATATGTGACTAGTTTAGACTGAAAAGAAAATGCATATAGGCATTCCTTGTATCATTCCTCATATGAAGTGTTCTTAAACCCCTTTTTAAAGAGTTTCTCTTTTCTTAAGTTCTTAGTCAGAATTTATGTAGCATTGGAGGAGGTTTTCAAATTTTCAACTAAAATTTCCACTTCAATGTCAAAAAAACAGTTAAAACATTTATTCCACAAGGTTATTAAATATTTAGTTATTTTAGCAGGCGGACTTTGAATAAAATACAAAAGCACACTAATAAGCTGATATCTGTTTTTAATTGAAAATCAGATTTCTGTGAATCTATTTAGTTGTACATCCTATGAGGCACCAAAGAAAATATTTTAGAAGTTCCCACACTATTTATCTCCCCAAAAGTTGAACTTTTCTATGGAACAACATTTTCTTCCCAACCTTCCTTTAGAATACGTATAAAATGGAGAGCAGCATCTAACAAAATGTCCCTAGGTGTTTTATAGGTTTTGATAAAATACAATGAGCTATTCAGGGACTGCTTTAGACTTCAGTGACATTGGATATGGAAACAGAGTTTTGTCTTTTTTAGCACTGAACTAACTACAGACTCAGGATCTTAAGCAAATATATAGTTTGTTTTTGTTTGGTTTTTTTTGTAAAAGCACATTTTATTTGTATAATCTTCCTGAATATAAAATGCAGAAGATATGTAGAGTTACCTTTCTTCATTCAATGTAATCAGTTTAAATTTCCACTGTATTTGAAAATAGTTATATTTGATAACTCTTATGTGGATTTCATAATGAACTGTGCAGGCAGAAAAATTGTGCATTCCCAATTTAGCAATGGTTGTTAGAATCTAAATTTCCCTAGGGTCTTCCTAAATTTGTGGCCTACCAAGAGATACCATATTGTGGATTGACATTTCTTCAAAATCAATATTAGACATGCAGTAAAACCTACATTGAGGAATTATCCAGTAAATGTCTAATATTTATTTTTTCTTCATTTTTCAATAGCTGTGTGTCAACATGACCAATGAGAAGATACACCAGTACATCAATGAAGTTCTTTTCCTACAAGAGCAAGCAGAATGTGTACAAGAGGGAGTTGCCATGGAAACGATGTATTCTCCTGGTAACCATACTGCAGTCTTGGATTTTTTCTTTCAGGTAGTTTCCAGATCCATTTTACACCATGTGCATTTATACATAATCTGTGCATGTTAGGCTGATACAAACTTTTGCTTGTGTTTTCCAATATATGAATCTTCAGACAAGGCTATGGATCAAAGAGGCCAGATCTCAGTGGCTCACAGGACTTAGAACAGGGCTGAGGAAGATGCAGCCTGTACTGGTTCACGTGTAGCCTCTGTGTGTCGTGGCATGGTGACTGTGCTGCCATCGGGCTGAGAGGCTCTGTCCTGAGCCTGACAGCTTCTCTAGTGCCTAAAGCTAGCTTCTGGACAACTTCTAAGAAGCAAGTTATACAATCAGTTTCTAACAGATCATTAATAGTGACTATTTTTGGCAACAGAAATACTGTTCCCTACATTTCTTATAGAAGGACCAGCCTTGAACACTTACCAAAGTATTTTAATATTTTTTCTTTTTCCTGTTTTTTGAGGTGATATATGTTTTTGTTTGCTAAATTACAAGCTGTGTTACTTTACAAAGAACAACCAAAATTCTATTTCTCCCGTATAAAATGAGAAAAATCTATTTTTCATTTCAGAAACCATCAGGCTTTTTGTCAATGCTGGATGAAGAAAGCCAATCTATTTGGTCAGTGGAACAGGGTCTTTCTAAACGCATTCAGTCCTACCTGGATACATCAGATACAAATACAGTCTATTCCTCCACAAAAGATGGAAATGGCAACCTTGCCCCAAAGGATCTGGGCTCCTCCTTCACTGTTATGCATTATGCTGGGAGGGTAAGTTGTTTGAATATCATTTACATGCAGTTAATAAAAACATTTAATAAAACAAAATTTTACATAGCTTCTCATACTCTTGGCTATAAATAGGATTTCACTGTCAAGTGTTAAATTTTCAGAGGACAACTCAGAATCTCAAAGCCATATCTAGTGTATAAAATGTGTAGCTTACATCCCAACATGAAGGATATGGGCTACCTAGTCCTGGCTTCTAAATTTTGTCTTCCTTGTAAGCATTTAATGTAGAAAGGGGTGATACAGACCCTCAGCATAGATGTTTAATGCCATTCTAGTTGGCTCCACTTTGCATATAGATGTGGTTCCCGAACAGTACAGCTTCCCTGTAGCGACTCTGCTGTATATGTAGATACCAGGGTTACCAGTATGAATCTGGTAAAAAAATCAAAACCAAAACTCCCATGTTTTCTATTAGCAGTCATAATATTTTTTTTCTACAAAAACCCCAGAACATGCTAAATGTCTTTTAGCGTGACTGTAAAATTAGATTAATATCTTTTTATTCTTCTGCCTGCAACATTCACAGGAATAGTACAATCAGTTCTTTTAAATAGACTACTTACCCTTTTCTTTCCAATACTTCATTTTCAAACTGTCCCCAAAATCAAGTACAACTCAAAGCAAGCAAGTTAGATATGTGTTTAAAAGGATAAGCTTTTTTTGTTGCATGTTTTTGTTTTGGTTTGTTTCTTTAAATAATCTGACAGCGTTATAAATAGGGACAGATTTCTTTGTGGCTCCTCATTTGCTGATGGAAGTCTGGAGTTGTGTATTGACGCAAGCAAATTTGTTCTTGTCCAGTGATAGAAATGTGGTCATTAGGGAAAGGGTTATTTGAGTACTGCTAAGTTCCTAACCCAAATACTCTGAATAACTCCCTGGAGGTTCTTCTTTCATCACAAAGCCTTCTACTTAGAATCAAATTATTTGCCAAAGTTAAGTGGTTTGAATACCTCGACTAGTGGGACTTGTGAGTAAGAATGTGGACACACAGTAGTTAGATAACAGTGCAACCAAGATTTTGTGAAACTTACTAGGACTTCAAGTGATGGAATAAAGAACTGACCATGAACTTCAGATGTATACTTTTAATTTAGAAACTTTTTTTATACTGTTACATAAGTATTTTTAACTCAAGGCATCTACATTAAAATCAAAGCCAGAATAATAAGCAGATTTCTTCAAAATTGAAAAAAATTTTTGTCTTAATGTCTAAAGAAGTATTCAGAAGATTTGTAAAGACCAGTATTTCACATTCTGAAAGTTAAACTGTGAGTGGTAAAGTGGACGCTTTTCAGTATCATGTGTTGTAGTCTTGCATGGTTGTTTAGATTTTTTGTTTTATAACATAGACACTTGGTTTGACCTTTTCCTAATAATAGTAATGACATTTAATCTAAAAGCATGAACAAATAGACAGCTCTCAAAGTAATGTAAATCCACACATTCTTTTGAAGTCAGTGGAGATCCTTTGATTTGCTTTGACCAAGGAACTACTCCAGTCAGGTTGTTCTCTGCATCTTTACAACAGTAAAATGCTGCCAAAATAGAAAAGTTCTCTTGCAACTCCTTAACTCTACTTGCTTTAATAGTAATGGAGCTAAATCCTTGTGAGACTCTTATCCAGCTATCATAGACTGAAATTGCCAGTGTTTCATGATATGTATTTATATAAAATTTTGATGATAGTGTGACTGTACTAAATGACACAAATTGAGTTTATTCTGAGACTATGTTGAAAACCTGAATATGAAAAAGTCAGATTTTAAAACTGCTGATGCTGTTCTTTAGATTGCGCTATTACTACATTTAGTAAATTTTTTTAGAAGTCATTGGTGATACATGCTTTATGAAAATTGTTAAAGGATAAAGCTTTTAAGTATACCAGGATTTATTGACACTCAAAAATAAGAATTTCATATATAAAGTATAAACATAGTTTGGCAGGTTTTGAGACCCTTTTTTATAGTCTGATATCAATTAAATGGGTCTAACATAAGTGAAGTATAAAGCAATTTTACCCTTGATTTTTGCCTTCAGAGATCTCCAAATTTAAAACAAGGCATCTTAATTTTATTCTCACCACAATTTCACTGATTTTTACTCCTTTAACTTGGTAAAGCTTCTCTGTATTTACATGAGTATAACTGGAAGATGAATCAGACCCAGAGGGTAGAGCAAGAATTAGCAGTGAATTGTGACAGGTAATGAAACATGAAAGTCTTTATTTCTAGCGTTAATCATTTATGCTCAGGTGATGTGTCTAGGCTGGCAGTTGAGGAGGAAATCACACTGAAGGCAGCAGGCTCTGTGTGAAGGCAGACATCCTGATTTCTCTAGGTAGCAGTTGTAGCTGCAATGTATTTCACAGCCAGTGTTAAAGAGCTACTCGGAGTCATCAGAAAAAAAAAAAAAAGGTAATATTCTGTGCTGGCCTTTGGTATGAACCACTTATGACTCCTGTAATTTGGGCTTCTTTTCATGAGTAGTGTATGCTTGTAGGTCAAAAGCCAGAATTAATTAGGTTCATTTCTTTACTCAGACACTTGCAGTAGCTATTTTAGCAAGTCAGAAGTGCAGTTAAACTGGAAAATGCAGTTATAAAAAATACTTCCTCACTGAAAAGACCTACTTTTTTATATTTAACTGAGATTGACAGACAACTTTTTGTGAACAAAAATGATACATCCAGCTTTATATTCTGAGACAATTACAGCTGATACAGATGTGTCCATTTTAAAGATCTCTAATATGTTCATACTTGGTGAAATTTTATGTCAAGATACAGAAAAATTATCTTATCTTCCAGTATCAAGTTTTTTTAATTGAATGTGTCATGAACTGGGAGGTATTATGCATTTCCTTAAATTTCTTGCTCAGCAACTTTTCCTAAGAGTAAATATGCCGTATTATTGATCCAAGCATAATGAGCCTTAAACTATCCCAGAAAAAGCAATACTGAGAGAAATAGAGAAGACAGAATGGGTCAGAAGTCAAAGAAAGAAAGCACGATGTTAAATTGAGACAAAGAATGCACAGGAGGCTCAAAGTAACATGTAAGGAGGAAAAGAAATCCAAATAATTTGGAATCCATAATTAATTTTCTGGCTGAATCAATACTTTAAGGAAGTCTGCATGTATGATACTGTTCTGAGAAACCTTGGATTTTTTTCATATTTTCTTGTCAGTTTTGGAGGGAAGAAAGAGGAGCAATATACACAAGTTCACTTCTGCATATGGAAGAAATCAACATGGGGGTCAAATATTTTATTGGAATCTGAGAATGAATATGGTTTTACACGAATGTGACAGAATGATCCAGTGGAAGAGAGAAAATGAATTTTGCCTCATTTCTTTTGAATTTTGCTATTATTCCTGAACAAGATTAAATCTGTCTTTTTCTGCATGGGTAATATGATATATTGCTTATGAACACACATGAACACATGCTTAGCAAAGGCCACTGTGAGCCTCAGTACTTTATTATATCAAGTATTTTACTTTATCTCCTAGTTTTAATTTTACAGCTGAACAGAATCCTACAGTGCCTTGACACATTATGAATCTTTTTAAAGAGATGTTTAATGTCTTGGTATCTGAGTGCTGTAAGACAAAAAGCTTATCTGTTTTGTTCAGGCAGGAGGTAGAAGAGAATGATTTAGGGGGTTTATGACTAAAAAAAATAATTCTAGTGAAAGGCTTTATCTGAAGGTTGTTTAACATATTTCTCTGAATACTGGCAGTCTGGTTTCTTCCAGAAAATTTCTGCTTATCTAGGGCATTGCTTTGTTTCTGAGGCCTGATATGACTGTAGGTATTCTGAGATGCTTCTCACAGAGATTGTCTATGGGGGAAGAGGCACATGCAGAACCTTGCAAGTTTGCCTTCAGGTGGCAAAGGGTTTTATCTGATCACCAGCTGAATCTATCCTAAGAATCTGTAATACTGAATGACTGAATTTCTAGGTTCATTTATTGACACTATTAATATTTGCATTGTGGGTTCTCACTTAAAGAAGGGCTTCACATTAATTATATCTTTGAATTGTCAGACATATCAATAGCCATGATTTTTGAAGAATAACATTTCCATCATTGAACTTTCTCAAGGGTTCAAAGTTCTTTATTTTTTAAAATTTTTGTGGAAGAATTAGCATAACACTAAGTAAATCAGAAATATATTGTCTTAGCACAATGCCAAGAGACACAGCTTTACCTAATAGTCATATTTAACGTAATGGTATTTGCCTCATTTTCATGTGATCTGAATAATACATTATCACAATTTAAGCTTTCTGCTGTTTAAATTAAACATGGATTTGCAAACTAAAGAAGCCCCTTGTTGCTGTTTGCCTTGCCACTGTTTTGACGTTCTGTACTGTAATGAACTGACCTACAGATCAAGTTCTTTGCTCTGTAAACCAGTGCATGTAATGTTCCTCTAAGTGCAGATCAATGTCTTTCATTTCTCAGCTACCTGCATATCAAAAATACCTCTCAGCTGTCAGCTCACCTTCACCAAGGCAGTCTTCTCTCAAATGCCTTGTATATCCCAGGCAGATGCTGAAACTGAACCTCTAAATCAAAAGACAAAAGGAGGGGGATTAATCAATAAGGATGATTTCACTTCCACTATTTTTCCCCCAGGCTGAATCCTCAGACAGAACAATCAAATCAATCTAATAAAAAACTGTACCAAGGCATATAAGGGCTACTTGACATTCTGGTTTTCACATAGGCAAGACAGGCTTGCTTTTTTTCCCTTTCTCTCTTTCTTTCTTTAAGTAGTCTTCATTTGGGATTTTCACTTGCTGGAGAAAATTATAAAATGCTTTCCCCATCTGTCTATTTTGTTTCTAAATAATTCCTTCTTTCAAAATGCTATTTTATCACAGCGTTAGAATAAGACTTGACAGACTATAAAATTATTTAACTCACTCATTGCTTAGCAAGATTTGTTTTGGGAGGTTGATAAACCCAGTGATACTTAAAAAATGGCACATGCAAGCATATCACTCACATTCAAGTAACTGGCAGAAAATTAGCAACTGCAGGTGTCTCTCTGTACACCAAATTGTCTTTGGACATCTTCTCAAAGATTTCTCTTTTGCTACATGAACTAATTATTTTCTTATTACCTAAAATTTACAACACAGGCAAAACTGAGTTTCTCAGTTACATTTTCCTATTAAAATAATAAAATTTTCATTTTTAACTGGGAATGCATCCAGAATGTTCTTAATATTCCAGGTGGCATTTCCCTAGTTTGCTTCAGGTTTTCTGCCAAATCTGCCATTAACCATGAGCTTTTTTGGCCTATCACAAGATATGAAAATTATTTACCGAAAAAAAAGAAAAAGTATTTTGAGGACTTGATGAAAACTATGTGTAAAGGTGGTCCTGTTGATAAAATATACTGGGAGACCAAATAAACTTGGAGAAAATCCCTTAAGCAAGTGAGATATTATGAGATAGGATACTTTAGGTCAGAATAAAATATATAGAGTTTTCTGGCATTAAGATAATTAATGAAGCAAAGAGACAAGAATATGTAAAAAGATAAGAGGAATATGCAGTTCCCAAAGTCAGCTCTGTGCATATCAGGTGAGTCTCCTGTTTTCTGAGTGTTTTAGCTCTTGCTTCTATCTGGTAGCTCTTGTGGTATTAAAACCAGCTATGCTAATTTATACAAGCAGAAAACAGGTTCAAAACAAATAAACTTAGGGTGCTTTTCTTTTCCTCAAACTTAGTAATTAGTGGAACGCCTTGACGTAGAGTCTTAAAGAGATACTGGAAATGTTAATGAGATCTGGAAACAGAGATTTGAGGAGGAAATGTGAGTCAAGAGATACTAAACACAAAGGTGAGATACAGCCTGCAAGACAAGAGTGTCTTCATGGGCAGAGCCCTGAAAGCTGAGGAGAGAACTGGTGACTGGCAGAGTGGAAATACTCCTCAATTGTTTTCCTGAAATATTCAGGACTAGATGAATATTTGGCCATACCCAATATGACGTATATTAACTCTCTTCCTTTATGAACTTAAATTTAGAAGGAAAGCAAATCCAACTCCATTTTGTTTTAATCCCTTATAATGAAATAAAATGCAGTATGGATCAGTATTTTTTTTAATAAAAACATTTCAGCTATTCAGATACTATATAAAGGTCTTCTTTCCTTTGGCTAATATATAAAGGTCTTCTTTCCTTTGGCTAACATAGACATATAGGTTTGCACACTGTCTACCCTAAAAAGTTACCATTTAAAGCAAGATAAAGCAAACTGTGATAAATAGAAGAGACAATAAGGAGTATGATTTATAATACTGGACCCATTATCTAAGTAAGTGATACTTTCTAAAGCATACAATATTTTCTTGCTTTTTGTCTCCCCAGAATAACTATCCACTGTGCTTGAGTGCCAGGCAATGCAGAGTTTGGGCCAGTGTTTATTTTACAAACTCAATGGAAGAAAACTGAGGGAAATGTATGTGCTTTAGATGGCAGGTAGTTTGCTATCTCTGATGAGAGCAAGATTAAATCAATAAAATTGGCAGCTGGAAGAGAACTTATTTCTTTTTCTATTTTGTGGGACTGGCAATGACTATGGAACCCTAGAGTATCATTTCATTGAGTCAGTTTTCATGTCTTTAGGCAGTGAATTAATTTACCACATCTATGGGAAAATTTTTTAGAGTGTTAACAATTTCTTCATAAAAGGGAATCCCCCTAACTTTTATCTATTTTATGATATGAAATATATCTTATGAATATAGTTCCAGAAGTTTGTGATGTATTATCCCAGCATCAATACTGAAACTTCTCCCTGTTTTAATCTAGGCAGTTAATCATGATATAATATCTCCCACTGCTGTACTTACCTACTCTTCCCACCAATACTAATTCTCTTCTTCTAATTTAGTGAAAGCCCAAGACATTCAATTAGGAACTAGCTTTATGGATTTGTCATATAAGTTCTGTTAATTACCTTTTATGGACCAAGATGGCACAACATTTATGTTCAGTACACTAAAAGCATTTAACAGTATACTTAAAGAACTCTAATAGTTTGCTAACTATGTTTATGTTCTTAGGAATGCAATTAGAAAATACATTAGATTTGTCATGCAAAAGAACCATAATTCTCTTGTTATACCTTGTTCATGTCAGATGCTATAGTAATTGCATCATTTGGCAATTACTCACTCTAACAGATTATACACTTCCTAATCACATAATTTCTTTTGTGAGCAAGATAGCTTTGCATAATTGTCAAGTGACCCCGTGGAAAATTAATGCACTGATTAGTGTTACTAATCTTAATTATATATTTACAGCTTTATTAAATGTACAAGAATAAAATTTCCCCAAACACCTAAGGGGCTTAGGATATAGATCCAATACAAAAAATTAAAGAAGGCTTTAGATAGAAACATGGTCCCAAGGTAAATAAAACTGAACTGCATTCTAAGTTTCCAGTAATACCTGTCTAAGCATGCAAGTACTAAAATCTATATTTTTCTTTCTTTTTGACTTAAAAATTCCCTTTGGGTTCTACTACTATGTAAGCCAGAGCTTCTTGCATCTAAAGTCTGTAAATTCACTAGTTGTTTTTCATCCACCCCCATACAAGGTTTAAAAAAAACCAAAAAACCAACTGCTTTCTTGTCTTAGTGCTCTTTTTGTATGCAATGTCGTCAGGGATAGGCTCAGTATTAAAAGAGACATTTGGTTATATTTCTTAATTTTGGATGTACCCTCAACACCTCTGGCTAGAATTTGGATTTTGCTCAATTTTTAGAGTGTCTATCCCTTGTGTTAGAATTTATCTGCAGTCAGATGACAGATGCAGGGACAATCTAGCTGTCTATTATTGAAATTACAACAGCAGGAAACTGAGGTGAACCAAAACTCTTATGTCATAATTGTTAGAAATGTAAATGGGATTTGTGTACAATCTATTGACAGAACTTACCTCCAAAGGATATGTCAACGGTTGGAAATTGTCCTGAGTGTGAGTTTGGACTCAGATTGCTTTGTCATGATTAGTGGGGTTAATGTCATTGACAAGGAGATCCGTGAGCTGGGAGTGGCTTTCTCATCCAGGGAAAGCATTGTTAGCTCAGTGTCTCCTGCTTTACAGTAGGAGACATTTGATTCAAAGCCCTGTATTATGGAAATGTTTTAAAATCAGACTAATGAAATTTCTGTATAGCTGCAGAGGCACATAATGTTCAACAACCAGTTCTTCTGGTCAGCATTGTAGGCACTTAGAAAATGCCAAAAATACCTGATGCCAGATTTTAACTGTTGGGTGGAAAAAAACATAGCTTCATTTCTACTGCTGTAAGATTTTTAAAAGATGCATTGGTCATTACTAATGATGTCACAATATTTTATTATAGGTTACATATGAAATCGCTGGTGCGATAGAAAAAAATAAAGATTCCCTTTCACAAAATCTCGTATTTGTAATGAAAAGTAAGTAAATGATTTTGTGGTTACTGTTGCAAGAAATCAAGATATTATGACTTGATTTTTATTTTCATTTTAGTTTTAAGAGACATATGTATATATATATATGTGTGTTATATATATTATATATTATATATATATTATATATTATATATATATATATATATAATATATATTTTTTTATTTCCAGTAAAAAAAATCACCCTCATCTTTATGAAGTATTTGCATACAGTATTGTTTGAAATTTGCTCTAATTTAAAAGCTTTTAGATTAATGAAGATAGAGCATCTTTATCATGTGATGTGATATAAAGAAAAATAAGGTGTAATATGATGGGTGAGAATGACTTACAGAAGACAATGAGTATGAACTACAGCAAAAACAAAACTCATAAAATAGAAGGAAATTGGGCTCCCAAAATCAGAGGCAGTGGGATGTACTCCACTGCTTGAGTACCCTTCTAAAAGCAGTAACTTGTGGGCGTTCTTATGTTTTTCGGTGAATAGATATAAATGTCCATTGAAATGCAAAATTAAATGCCTTTCAGTGTTCATATTATATAATTATGCCTAATAATAATAATAATGCATGTGATTAATTAATTAATTAATTAATTAATAATTATTAATAATTGGATTAATGATAACTTGTATAATTTTCCCTTTTTGGAGAGGAAAAACAAAATGTTTTCCTCAGAGAATTGCCAGAGAGATGACCCTGAGGTGTCATGTCTCCAACCACTGTAGTGTTTTTTACTTAATATATTATATACTTATATTTCTTTCCTTAGAAGGAGCAGCCTGCTGTTAAAATGTTTTGCATTTTAACAATTTTACTGCAAAATTAACTGAGCATCCTAATAAAATAATTGATGTGTTTTAGATGCAAAAATTGTACATTCCAAATGAAGAAAGAAATGAAAGAAATTTTATTGAATATAAGCATATTGCTTGTAGTTTTAGAGATATTATAGTTCTTAATGCTTGGAATATATATGATAATCTACCAAAGAGAAGGTATGACAACTTCCAATACATTTGATGTGAGAGAGCATTCTTCCATTCTCTCACTTAGTCCCTTTTGCACTTTCATTGCTGTTTTGTGTAATCAGCTATGCAACTATTAAAAAGCAAGAATGAAGGATGAGATTTGATATAAAGAGTTTAATACGATGAGAGTGAATATATATACAACTGAGGAGTCAATAATAATATTAATGAATTCTGTGAGGAGAATATTTACAAACATGTAAGTTTAAGGACTTTAAGGACTAAATGCCTTCTTTATTAAGTGACTTAGGCTTAAAACCTGTTAACTGTCAGTGACATATACCCTTTAGAGTCAGTCTCATAAGTTGTGTAATGTATAACTTAAGTGCATGCATCCTTTGATTTTCATTGAATTTTGTTTCCTCAATCAAAACTTTTAATTATAATAACATTAAAAGTAATTTGTATATATGTGTAGGAATGTGGAACATACCTGCTGAAAATTATCAGGAGAGGTTATTGACATAGGATGTACCTGTTTTAATTCAAAAGACATAATTTCTATGCCTGTCCTAATCTTACTTATTGCTGTTAAACATATGTGTATTGATGCCCACTGATTGTGCTGAAAAAATTTCAATTATCTGCTTACATATCTTCCTCATAATTTTAATGTTCCTGTAAAGTAAGGAATAGCAATCTCCACAGAAAAAGGGAAAAAATCTATTCAATTTATCATATATAGTAAGAAGCCTGTAAACATTTACTGAAGAGCAAACTGAAAATTTTTTACCTGCTGTGCTAATTAGCAGGTAAAATGATGCTTATCCCATTCATCTTTCTGGTTTTTTTTGCTTATTTGTATTATGTATGTGATTATAATTCCAATTTTCTAGTTATTAAAAAAAACTTTCACAGGAATTCAGCATGGTTAAGGATGTATCACATGAGTTCTTGCACTTATTGGTGCTGTGGCAGTACAAGCAGGATGTAATTATCATGTTCATCTTAAAAATCCTGTGACCATAAATTTATAAAGGATAATCAGACTGAAATTAGGATGAAGTATACTATCTGTCTTAAAATTCATATATATATATTTTTTGGTTGTTTGTTTAAAAGCACCTCCTGGAAGTATACGTACAAGTAATAACATATATCTATGCCATTGTCTTTTTTCTGTAAGTGTTTTTAATTGTGGTCTTGATGTAGAGAAACCAAATTTTTTACAGTTCTCTTCTTTGCCTTGCCCTTTTTAAAAATCCCTTCTCATGTTTTGTGAACATATAATTATTTAGTGCAATTAGTGTCTATAATTTATTTTTGTCAAGTGCCTTAGTTGTTCCTAAATACTTCATGTTAGGAAATTGTGCAGAACTCATCTCTTACATTGCTTTAATATATGGATAAATAGGGAATCTGTAATGGAACAAAATTCAGAGGTGATAATCCCATAAGTAATTAAGTTTAGACACATTGGTCTGAAGGGTTTTGGTTTATGCCCTCTTTTTGTTCAGCACAGGATCTGAATTGATGAAAATAGTGTTACAATTTTCAGATATTGAGTTTTCTTTCATAGTGCTCATTTTTTGATTTTTCCATTTGTTTTAGGCTTACTTATTTAATTCTCTCCTACCATGTGTCTTTTCACTGACAAATACAATATATATAATTTTCTAATTTATATTTTATCTTCATGCATTTCTTTCTATTTTTTTATTGCCAGCAAGTGAAAATGTGGTCATCAATCAATTGTTCCAATCCAAACTGACACAAACTGGATCACTTGTTCCTCCATATCATTCCCTTAAAATCAAAGGGTGTAAAGCAGCTTTGCTAAGTAAAAAAACATCTGTAACCTGTGCAAGTGGAGAAGCGAAGAAGTATATTGAACTCAGCAAGGTAAGAATTTAGAATTCTTTCTGCTCTTGGCTCCTTGAAGACTTTTATTTTGTCATCTCTGAGCCATCTTGTTCTCTGCTTCATTCTCTGTAGTCATTATGCTATTAAAATAATTTACTACTTACTATCAACAGGAAAGCAGCAAAAGTGAGGAAAGGTTCTAATTTACAAACACTAACAATTGTGGTTCAGAAATATTTTTCTTGGACTCTTGGAGCAGAAAGTCAAACAAGATGATGAGGTCCTTCAAGCCTAAATCATTCCAGGATTGCCTGGTTCTAGGGCTTATTAGCAGTGAATGCAGTCTTACCAATTTTTGTCTGTATATATTGTTTTGTCTCCTTGAAAGACTTTATGATGAATAGTTGAGTAAATTAAGACATAGGAAGTATAAAAATAAAATCTTAATGCCATTATGTCAACATGAGAAGATTTCTGGTTTGATAAATACAGTTTTTTGTGATTTTGTATGAAGATCAAAATGTAAATTTTGGCCACCATTGTTATTTAAAATGGTCTCTTATAGTAAATTTTCCCAGTTAATTTTAAATCAAATAAAATATGCCTAATTTATGAACTTACCTCTTTTCCTGATAATTAAGTCAGACAAAAAAGTTAAAAGAAAAAACCCAAACCAACACCAACCACAAACCATAAACAAAAACAAAAAAGAGAGAGGAGCAGGAGAGAAACTTGGAAGATTATCAGAAAATTAATTGTTCATTAACATGGAACATCTCTCTTGAAAAGAAATAATGTGACTTTGTGAGTTAATTCATGACAGAGCTTTGGAATTTATCCTTCTAGAAAAGAAGCACACACTTTTTACAAGTTCTGCATTAGCTGCCTCACCAGGCTTCTTGAATTTTACAACTCTATTTTTGGTTTACAGCTGCATAAAATTGATTTTGTCATGGGATTAAGGAGCCTGCACTCATGTGTCATTGTGGAAGGCTTTAGCAATGGGACTTTCCTTATAGTCCCCCTGCTGATAACAGCATAATTCCTGACTACTGCTCTTGTCAGTAATCTCAGTTGAAAAAAAACTGAAGCCAGTGGTGTTGGTTTAAGGCTATATTTAGAAAACAGCTGAGGCCTTACAAGGTGCCTTTAGGTGCCTTTCCACTGTAGCAACAGCTCCCTAGAGGAAGCTACCAAAAAGCTTGAAAAAGATCCTAGTCTCATACATGGGAGAAATCATGAAAAGCATATCTGAGTTAGAAGCCTAATCAAACCAGGGCAAAATACTGCACAGTTGAGATCTCTGAAATTATGATGGTTTTGACATGTCCAGAATAGATTTTCACCTGTAGTTACTCTCTTGAGAGACAGAAGACATTCAATTCCTTTGGGTAGCATGATATCTGAAGTCAGACATTTCAGATTCAGTGAGAATGCTGTAAACCTTTAGGCATTAGTTGGAAGGTGGGAAGACTTCATCCTTCATCTGTCTGCAGAGACAAGGATGGCTTTGCTTCTGAAGCACAAGCTTTGAGAAGAGCTGTGCAGGTGAGACAGAACATTTTGTTGATACTAAGTTGGCCTAATTTGAGCAAGGTGCTATGCTGCCCTGCAGGACTGGAGCAGAACTTTAGGGAACTAAGCTGTTCCACTGGCAAAAAGCAACGCTCACTTTTTTTTTTGGAATAGACACTCAATGCAGGAGCTGGAAGTAGGTAAGGGCTTAAATTCTATTAAGGATCAAGCCCACATCTGTAACCGTGCAGTCCCAAGTAATTCCTTCCCTTGTTCAACATAGCCTTGAAAATCTGCTGTGGTGGACTGCAATAATGTTAGGTTTGTTATTTTTTATTGTAATTGCAAATGCAATGTAAGGGGCTTTTTCTTGTCAGCTTAACATTTAAATTATTATGAGTTGGAAAATCATGACCACTGTATTTTTATTGGCATGTATTCAGAGGTTAATGGCAACAAAAAGAAGGAAAAAAAATAGAATAGAGGAGGGAGAGAAGGAGGGACATTAAGGCAAAAATTATCAACTAGACACTGACATTCCTTTTATATCTGAAGTTTGAGTCACAACATACATCATACTGTAGGCAGTAGGAGTCATGAAATGGAAGGTACACATGGTGCTGTGTATGGGAAGATACCTAGGCTCCATCATATCCAGGGAAGGGAATTAGAGAAAGTTAAAGTCAAAGAGGATTTTGTTGTGAGTCCCCTCCTCTTTCATCTTGTCACTTCAATCCTAGCTAAATAAAGGTTATATAATTATAAATGTCTATAATTATGGCTATGTGTTTGTTTACCTTTCCATAAATGACTCTTGCTGCTGAGCATGATGGCATAAGTAAGGATACCTCTTTGAACTAATGCTATAATGGTAGAATCCAAAACAGAAATGCATCCATTCTACGGTAGACATGAACAGATCTGTTAACTGGCCAGAAGTTTGGAGCTCAAAGGAGTCATAGGAATTTGGGGATGACAGCTCAAGCCTCTGTGACTTATGAAGATCATGTGCCCTTTTCAGATAAAAAAATATCTTCATTGATACTCTCACAACTCTTGCTCACATCAACTCTTGCTCCCTTTTTTTTTCCTAATCTTTTCCCAGTGCACATTTTGTCTCTGTTGTCTTCTCCTCACTTTGGAAGAATTTGTATGTTTCAGAGTTTATACAGCAAAAGTCTTTAGATAATTTTAGGAGGAGATTTTTAGCTTCTTAACCAAGATTTCAAATACATATATGTGGGGGGGTTTTCAGGTAGATTAAAGGTACAAGATATTCCAATATGAAGCTGTATATTACAGGGTGATATAGCCTTTTTCCTTAGCCCATAGGTGACAATTACATATGTCCAAGTTTTGAGAGTTTGAATTAAATTAATTTTTTGTCTTTGTCTTTTTTTTCATTTTTCATTTGTTTTCTCTCTCTCACTCTGAAACAAATTTTTCTTTCCCATGGGAAGTCATATGTAACATGGACAAGCAGGCAGGAGTTTTAGCATCTGAAGTGTTGTTCCTAGATCTCCCACTAAGCCAGGAAACAATCTTGAACTATTGACTTAAATATTGAGAGGAAGGGGTGACAGCATTGTCTGTAAGGTGAAGAAGATTTTATTTTGGTTATATTCCCCAGTTATTTTTAAACTTTAACTGAAAAGTGTCATTGGCATGCTAGTGGATCCTTTTATGAGAAAAACTGGAACAAGCAGATGTCTTTTACTTTTTAGTTTTGAAGTTGAGAGTGAATTTGCCTTTAAAATCTTATTGCATCCTAGTAAGTGAAATAAAAAAGAGCTCCAAAGTTTAGCATGGTGAGTAGAAAATTGCTTGCACTACAATATTTTAACAGCATTTGGCTTTAATGGGCCAAGCTGAGAAGATGTAAGCTTTTTAGATAAAATTGGGAAAAGGAGTAGGCCAGAATATGCTGACTCAATAGAAAGGGATTTTTATGGGATAAGTGGACTGAAGAAAGGCAATGGATAGTCAGAGGTGGAAAGGTTGTCATTGATAAGGGAGTTTAAATCTCACAGCTTTGCCAAGTCCTGGAATGCAATAATTTTGCTAGCCCTTCTGTAGAAGATTTAACAAAAGACCCTAAATTCTGGGACCACTTTTAGTATGATTATTGCCATTTCTGTCTCAAGGATAGGAAGTAGAGCAGCAAAAATAAATTCATTTTCCCCTCCCAATTCTGATGTATGGGATAACACTGGATCTAATGAGATAGGAAGTTGTTAATAATTTATGACTCTAATTGGTGAAAATGTAATAAAAAAGAGAAGTTTAACTGTGTTCAGATGTGCAAGAAAAATAAGAAGAGTTTTAAAAAATATTTGTATTATTGTTTTGCTGTTGAGATTTTTTAAAATTGTCTGTACTCTTACATTTACTGACTTAAACACCTGTCAAAGGCATAAGGCACCTTCTTACAGAGTTACAGAATTTTGCTACTTCTAGACTCTATGGGATACTAACTGCACAAGTCCTGCTTCTGCCACGAAGTTCTGAAACACATTGATTTGCCCAGTTATTTGTAAAAAGTGTATTATCATTATAATGTATGTAGCTGCTTTTGAAATCAGAACTTACTCACCAATCATGGCTCTGCAAATACCTGAAGATATTTATCCACCTTCTATTTCTTTCTGAAGCTCAATCCTTGTCTATGGCACAGTGTTTGTACAATTTTTTTCCTTCATCAATTCATTTTTCAACTGCAACAATGACAATAAAGGTCTACTGCCTATCTTGAGATAAAATTGTTGTGTGTATGCTTTTCTCTTCCACAGCTGCTGAAAAAGAAAGGAACATCCTCATTTCTTCAGAGACTGGAACGAGGGGGCCCAACCACTGTGGCAATACAACTCAGGGTCAGTGAACATCTTATGGACAGAAATTTGCAAAAGAATTTCCAGATGTTTAAAAGGCAGGATTACCCTCTGCAAATGGCAATGGAAGAAAGAAAAGTCTTGTGTTTGAGAAATCTACTTGCATGACCTGTCAACCCTTTTGAGAAAATGATGTTAAAAAGTTAGGAAGAACATAGGTATTGAATAATTGTCTTACCTGCACAGTAATTATTGATAATTGTTTGTTTGTTTGTTTGTTTGTTTTCCCCCAGAAATCACTTGCAGATATTATTGGGAAGCTGCAGAACTGCACACCACATTTGGTTCATTGTATAAAACCTAATAACTCCAAGCTGCCAGATACTTTTGATAATTTTTATGTGTCTGCTCAACTGCAGTACATTGGTGTTCTAGACATGGTCAAAATTATCCGACATGGGTATCCAGTACGTCTCTCTTTCACAGACTTCTTGTCAAGGTAAATTCTTTCAAGTTTCATAGAACCTTTTTTCTTACCTACAGTACAAAACCTTCTGTTTTGTTCTGGTAGTGCTTGTAATGTTGTTTTGCTTATGAGTTTTTCAGACTTTTTTCAGAAAAAATCTTCTCTGCCTCAAGGGGTAAAGGCCTGTTACTTTTTAATTGAACAAATAAATGAACTTTAGAAATATATTTATAAATTCATGAATCTATAAAATTTATATTGATATGTAGAAATATATTTATAAAGATCATCAGAAAAATTAAGTTTTAAAAGTTTGACCTCGTAAAAGAGCCCTTTTTTACAATTTATATCATTTGCATGATTTAAAATATATAAAATGTTGCATATTTTCTGCAGATAATTAAAAAGGAGAAAGAAAAAGAGTCTAATTTTTCAACTTTTTAGGTGTAAGTAAGTGTCATGGGTTCATTATTTTTATCTCATAGTCTAGGATTCACTTGTGCCTGGTCCTGAGGTACTAATGCTCATACCACAACTGCATTTTTATTATTGTTAGAAATCAGTGACATATTGAATTAATGTGAAAAGACATAAAGGTCTGCTTCTGTCAGCAGGCAAACTGTTAGTGCCCTTTCCCAGTTCAGTACTGGGGTTTTGGGTCACTTAATTCTTAAAAGATTCAGGAAAGAAAGAGGATTGTCTTGCCCAGGAAGTATTTGTTTAGCAGCCTCATGCACTCAAGACAATTCCATCTCTCTGTATGTTCTACTCCTTGATTAATGTATATCAGCCAGTCATGATCTAGCCTTATTTTACTTCTGAAAAACAGCATTAGCTGCTTACACATAAGTTTCAGTTGTCTTCTTGGAAAAGTTGTGGATGTTAAATTACTGCTTGGGCAGAAAGTTGTTCTCTCTGTAAATACTCAAAGAGTGAGGAGTATAGGAGTTTATAATCGTATTTCTTTCCTAATTAAACCATTTGTGCCCTACCACAATATTCATTCTCCAGTGTGAATCAAGCTGGGCAGCCTGGTTGAGGAGAAGATGCAGATAATGGGAGATTTGGGAAAGCTTTCATGTTCTAAAATTCCATGGGCAATCTCTATACAGCCATTTCTGTATAATTGAACTGGACCTTTGAGGTACTATTACACGAGCACAGTGCCCCAACCTTTCCAACTGTTAGATCCTTACTGTGATTTCTGTCAGATATTTGCTTCCTTGTCACCCAGCCTTTTTCACTGCAATTCCCAGATACAGGCTGAGAATTACCACAGGCCTAGGATCAGTCCTGGTGAGCAATGTCTATCTAGGCTGCTGCTCTCTTTTGGAAGGTAAAGGAAATCAATCATGTGTACAAAAGTAATTTTCAGTGCCAGAGAATGGCACTCTTAACAGTATAGGGACAAGTCTGGCATATTTTCTTAATTTTGAGTTTTGTTAAAAATGTAAATTCAATCTTTTTCATCCATGCCTTCGAGTACCTCCTGAAAGCAAATTTTTGCATGAAAGTCTTGAGGAAATCTGTTGTCTCACAATAAATATTTATTTACAGTAACAAGAGTAACACAAGAATAGCAAAAAACACCAACAATATGATGCCAGCAACACTTATGCTGTTAAAGTATTCTGATTTTGTTACTCTATAATCTTTATCCCTTTTCCTCCACAATAAAGTACCTTTGCAGGTTGTTTACAGCTGATCCCCTACCATTTTTACATATTTACATCAGGTCATAATAATTTTATTGCTATACATAAAATTATTTAAACAGTGATGGGGCTAGCATGGTGTCACCAAAAAAGAAGTTAATTTTTTAATATTCCCTGTAACTGTATATTGAACCTATTCAGAAGTTAGCAATAACAACTGCATACAGTTTCTCAATACTGCTGAATTTTTAGATTGGTGTGAAAATAGAAACATGGAGTTCTTGGTCCAGAGGTATTGAAAAAGACTATCTGCCTTGTGAGGTTTTTTATAGTAGTCATCCATGCCACACAGGCCAAGGCTTATCTTCCTTTGTGGAGGAGATTTTCACTTTACTCATCATGACAATATAACCTTCATATTCACAGTCAGTGTATTTGTATATTTCATTCCATTTAATAGTTCAAGAATGTGGCTATTTGCTCTCTTATTGGCTGAAAGCATGAAATTTTTAAGCAGAAAATATATTATTAAACTGCATTTCAAAAGTAATGTCAGTTCTTAATGCTGTATGTTTTTTTCAGACAATAGACTGCAAGTAAGAGAGAAATATTGAATTCAGAGATTATGAGTTACCTTTTCTAAAAGTTTCCTTAAAACCTTAATTTGTTCTACATCTCTATATTGCCTTGGTAACTGAACAGGATATTTTTAGAAACCTGATAATTCATTTCAGTGATTTTTTTGTTAACTGTGTTAGTTTTGTTGACTGTTCAGCCATACTCTGGTCTTGTCTTACTATTAATTGATTGGAATGAGAAATTATTTGTCGTACTTCTATACAGGCTTACAGACCTGAAGCTGATGGAATTTTTCACCTTTCAAATTCTTATTTCCTTTGCTGTCAAACTGGTATTTCTAGTATTATAAAGAGAATTTGTGGCCCTACTCCCAACCAGAATTCCCAAAAGATAGGGAATTACTATCCTCCCTCATCATCCCTGCAGTTTTTGTGCATTTACTTTTTGGGTCTTCCTTATCATATAGGTAATAGGTTCAGAATTCAAAATAGCTACCAATTAAAATTTAAACCTTTTTTTTTTTTTCTGCTAGCTTACAAGAAGAAATAATGTTTGAATTAGGAGACTTTGTGGTAAGGGGATGGAATGTTGGAAAACCTATATTCTATCACCAATCAGACAGTAGCAGATCATTCTTAATTGGATGAATTTGAATAAATGTTTACTGCTATCTAGGTAGGGATTAATATGACTTTTATTTAACCTATTTATAAGTTCCATTTGAACTCCTACAATGCCTTAAGAGAGAGGTAGCTAAAGGAATGTCATATTTTGCAAGAGCATATCTTTCTGGGCTACAAAGTTTAATCATTATTTCTGGTGCTATCCCTTTGGATCTAGTGGTTCTGCTTCTGTCTTATCAAAGTTGCCAGCTATGAGGTGAACCCCTCAGTCTCCAAAGTTTGCTGATCAGAAGAGAAATCTTGTGGAAATTCTCATTATTAAATGGAAGCTGTGGCACTTCTTCTCAATGAATATATAAAAAATGAGAATTCATAAGGTCAGATGCTAGTAAATCCTATTAAAGTAGGATAATTAAGAAATCATATATGTGATTTCAACAGATTTGCCAGCTCCAGATGCAGAGTTTCTCCTGAATTTACCTGTAGTGATGGCTGAATTTCTAAAACTCTGTGAACAGAGAGACTGGGATCAGTTTTTACCTTACCTTAAAAACAGAAAACCTTCAGTAATGCCCATTTTCCACTCCTGGAAAAGTTTACCCGTATATTTTGCTTATTATCTAGAGAATGGTTCTCAGTGGGCTATTTTTTTAAAATTCTAGCTTTGCTTTTTAAGTCAAGGCAGTGGCACAAACAAAATTTTAAAGGGTTTAAAGTTTCCAATTTGCAGTCTAAATTGTACACATAGGTAAAATATCCTCAAATATCTTTTTTCTTGGAAGAAAGAAAACAGTAAAATAGCTGTGTAATTAGCAACTGTCTGCAGATGGCTGTTTCTTTCCAGTATTTAGTGTTTAGATATCTTATTTTAAATTGCTTCTATTTTAAAATAGATCTAATTTGGAATAAGATATACAAAAAGACCATTAGTATAAACTGTAATTTATTATGGTTTTGGTATTTGGTGCCATGGAATAGGAAAAGTATCAAGTGTCTGCAGTGTTTCCAGTGCAGAACAATAGGGCTCAGAAACTCTCTGGGGCACAAACAGAGCCTCGTTATACAAGCCTAATATCTAGAATCTAATCTCTTTGCATCAATTAATAAAATGAATCCTGGCTGACTTTTATGTCATTCACCTCACATGGTGCTCAAAGAAGACATGCAAAAGCCATTTTGAATATAAATTTTTAAAAGTAATTTTAGTGTTCAAAGACCCATAAAGTGACCTCAGCAAAGTACAAGAATACTAGTGTTCAGGTAAAAATGAGACAGTAAGATGCTTTGTTTCACTCCTTCTGAAAAATTTTGTTTTGGTAGCATCCTCCTCTGCAAACACTCCATGTTTTCTAAATTTAAATAGAAATTAAAATAACTCCTTCTTTCTACTTTAATTGTGCTCACCAAGTTGCTGAACTATACACAGTTCTTTTCTCTGTCTGTTTTTCAATTTCCTTCCTTTCCTTCCTTCCTTTCTTTCCAAGGAAGAATTTATCACTACTAACTCAGAAACTGAGGCTCACATGTCCCCATTTTCTTGTGTCTGGGATACTGCTTGGCAGTAGAGACTGCAAGATCCAGTTACACAGGTCCTTAAATGAGGCATCTGTGTTTAGCCTTCCCTGCCAAGTTTACAGGAAACACTCAGAGCTGTTGAAGCTCAGGATAACCTCTGTGGATTATTGGAATTGATAAGCAATTTGAGCCTCTTACTTAGCAGATAAGAATGGCAGGATTTCTTTGGCAAAAATCATGTTATTCAAAAAGCCCAAATTCTAGTGTCCTGTTCCTTGCATTTATTTCTGCACTTTTTGAGTGTTTATTGGAATTTCATTACTGTCTCTCAGGTTTCTAGATGGCCTTTCCTGGGTTTAATTCTATCAATTTACTCTTCTGTTTTCCATCATGGAGGTCCCATTCTGCCTTCTGCTGCTGCTCAAGAAAGAGCAGACAAAATTCATAGTCTGAAGGAGTACGTGAAGGCTGTATGTAGAAACATCCTTTACAGTATGGTGGCAAGAAAAGTCACTAGAATGTTATGACTTACTATTTCTAATAATCTTTTAAAATTTCTTAAATTACACCAATATAACCTTTAGTTTTATTTAGGCTAATGTAGCCATGAAGTTTTATAAATAGTAATTTATCTTGTTAAGACAGTGTCAGATGCTAGTTT